ACACAGAAGAGAAGTCATCCCCATTCTGAAGGATAGGAATACCGTTTTAGTCAGATGTTCAACCACCGATCGATCGGTAGGTGGGCAACCTAAAAACCCTACCCAACAGAGATCAATGGATAGAAGAAGCGTGGGTGCCACCGTATGGAGTAAATGAGCATTCACCTATGAACCACAAAAACACATGACATCAAAATGAAAAGGTGTCCACTTGAGACCCCATTTTAAAATGCCAGGCTCAAAAACGGATGCGACCACATCAATCAGAGATGGTCTTCAAGTTATGGACAACGAACAGGATTGACCTTCTATATGCGTGACGGTAGCCAGGTAATAAAAGAAAATGTATGTGCGTAATCAGTGTACCTTCTGTGGTGGTACCTAATCGAGGAGCAACGAGACACAGCGTGACGTGTTTGAACAATTTAGACTGTAGATTTTATAGGTAATGGTAATAAGTACAATGGCTCATAGGCTTCTGCATCAACGAGGATTAGCCTCTTCGTCCTCAACTGGCTTCATATCTTCGTCAAAGTTGTTTGAGGAGAATTACTTGAATACGGGCAGTCTCAATACGCGTGTAACAATGAGATGCCCAAGTAAGTGTCAAGCGGTGGTGCTCGTGATAGTCAAATTAACAAATAAGAAAACTGCAGTCAGTCTGGAGAAGTGCGATGAATGCTCGTAAGCTATCCACCGAAGAGGTGCTCGAGTTATGGATCTGGGAAAGCACACTATTGGAAGGGGTGGATGACTGGAATGATAGTGAAAAATGAACTTTCTGACTACTGGGATAAATCCCGTAAGAGCGAATGTATTTCAAGTTGGAAACATCCAACCGTTTCCGTGACTAGCTCTTGACACTGCAGAACATGGCACGGGAGCTGTTCCGGTGAAGCATTCGCCGTGATCTCTTGGTTGTACAGTATGTATAGAATGTGTGCCAATGAACGGTCAAAGTGTAGGTAGCAGCGCAGTTTTCAAGTCGTTTTGAAGCCGAATGCATGCTTGAATGCAATGTCATTTTTGACCAAACAATATGACGAAACCAGAGATTAATGTGGTGCGATAGCTTGCGTGCTTTCGTTACCCATTGAGCGACATTGGGCGGCACTACCTAAGACGTGTCAGAGCTACTCACAGCATACAGATTAATGGCTTGGGATCAGACTACTGTTCCGAACCCTCTTTAGAAGATAGGGAGACGTCGACTGCACTTTTCTACAAAATCTAGCAATGGGAGGCAACAGGTTTACGGGTGACTAACTCACAGCTCGATTAGTGTAGAGCATACACTGTTTTTGACGGTGGAAAAGCAACACCAGGTGCTTTTGTTTGCTACCACCCGCCGCTACCAGGCAACCTTTGATCATAGTGGTGCCAACTCCCCCCTGTGGTTGGCAGTGGTCGCGGGTGCGTTAGGCACTACTTTCAAGAAACACATGTGAATCGTTTTGAGGTGTTGAAGGCTACGTGTGACAGAGCTTAAGGTGATCATTATTGGTACCTAAAATCACAATCCCAGGATAGACTTGCTCCCCACTGCCTTGTCGATCAGACTGGTAAGTCAAGGACTAAAAGTATTCCAACTTGAACAAAAGCCATCAATCGGAATGGGTAGTCGGAAAGTACTGTCTGCTCCCCCGACTCCGTTTCCTTTTTCTCTTTGTCACAACCTCGCAACTGCTGCCGTCGGTACATGTACTTGGATTCTCACATTGGTTTGTCTGGTGTCCGCACAGTGGGTCAGATGGGCGAGCAGGAGGCACTAACTCTCACCCTTCCCTCTCTTGGTATTGATGTGTACTGTCTCCGAAACACGTATACAACAGCGTTATCACGAATCCCCGACTCCCTGGTTCTGAATCTTCGTGTCTGCGGCTCAATGTATCTATGGTATAGGTATGGCCCTCAGCAAATATGCCGAAGGAAATCTACTTGACTGAATGCCTGTGAACAGGCGCATGTGTGATTCGACTTCGAATTTCTGTCAAGATTAACAAGCCATGTCGGAAGACAAAGGGTCTTTTCATCGAATCAGTTCCACGGATTGTAGTTCTGAAGTTATCAAATACGATTTCTATCGTGAAATCTCATCTCCTCTCCACATGGCGGGAAATGCTGAAATCGTAACTATTGTTCGTGACATGGATGCCCAAGTGCGTCTCCTTTCAGACACTGAACAACACCTGAAAGCCCAATTTGGGGTGGATGCACACCGAGCAGACAATGGTGACCGACTTCCGCAAATATGTGCTTTATGTCAGTAGCCGTGCTTCCCGGTACAAACGTTCACATCACGTCGCACCTGATGCCCACCAATTTCCTCGATGACATGTTGACCATTAACTATCTATGGCGTGTATCACTCTAAGGCTGTCCATCAATCTGATGTACGTGTCCAGATTCCGACCATGCTCTAGTGCGCGTACGCTTTGCGCTCACCCTTTTCGCTATAGAGACGCGCCTAACTTCCAAGCTTCTCAATTGCATCTTGAACTCGCAGTCCGGTGTCCTACAATATCATGACGAACTAAAGTACTACAATTGTCAATGATGAAGTAGGTAAGCGAACCGAACACTGACTGGAATCGTCTCAAGCGTGACATGAAGAACGCCACTGACACCAGTTGTGCGCCCAACTTGAGACGTAAGATCCGTGAATGGATGCCTGAGGCATCGATCAGTTTGATCGAGGCACAGAAGCAGATTCCAATGGGCAATGTGTTTTAGCGTTTCGTAACGCTCTGAAACGAGGACTAGCAAAGAGTCTTCGAATTGATCCAAAACGCAGGTGGGTGGCGAGCGCCCGCGTGTTATGAAAAGCTAGTACTATGGAAAACAGCAGTGTTGTCACAGCTCATCCGGAAAATGGGTGTAAGGAAGCCCCCAAACGAATGCGATAACAGCCGAAGAAGATGGACAGTTGATCAACTCTCAGCCTGTCTGTTGGGACACTGTAAGAGTAGTTAACCAGGGCTGTTACGATCCTAAAGTACGCCGAATTATCTGATCTATGGGGGGAAGCTGACGCCACACCTTCCAGTTTGGAAGAGATTCAACGTGAGCTCACCTTGTTGAAACCAAAAAGGTTCCTGGACACGATAATCCGCATCATAATTGCTAAATGGTTGTGATGACTATTTGCTAGTTGGACGTACTGCTCTATACAACAAGAGGTGCCGCGTCCATTTTCAAAAGGCGAAAATTATCCAGGCCTTAACTTCATTTCCGATGCCTCATTCTTTGACGACTTACTGGTCCTCATGAGGCAACTCAATGAAAGCGTGATTGGCTTCCGCACTGGTCGTGGTTACATTGACCACTTATTTGCTCTTTATTAAATATTATAGCAGATATATACCTACTAATGACCGACAATGGCGGTTTTCCGTGACTTGACCGTGTCAGCTTGTAGAACTGCCTGTCCGTGAAAGGCGTACCTGGGAAACTCCTTTCCATACCGAATTCTCTTAACCGTGCCTCTCGAAACATAGTAAAGGTCTACGGAAAGCTCACTTTTGAGGTACAAACGACAAGTGAAGCTGTAATACATCTTCTCTCTCCAATTTTGTGATCAAATAAGAAGAAATGAATCGATTCTTTCGGGATCTTCCGAATTGTAAATGCCGCCAGCTGACCGATTGACTAGCGTTGAGTATGCGAACGACATAGCTCTCCTTGTAACGGATGCAGTAGATAAACAAGCACATTTGTATAGATTGGTGCGTTGTTTTACACGCTTTGGCATGCGCACTGCACTTTTCAAGTGGAATACACTGTTGCAGCAGTCGTGCGGTCAGCTATCTGCTCCTATTATGAGCGGCCGGTGGCCGAGTGGTCTGCACGTTTGCTTTGCAACCATAAGGTCACCGGTTCGAATCCGCGTAGGGGTGGGCGTCCTCGCGGTATACTCAGCCCGCGCGCGACTGGTGGTGGTCGCGCGGCAGCGAAGCGCCGTTACGGCGTATAAGCTGACACCTTTCTTTCTTTTCTTTTCATTATGAGCGAAGTCAGTGAAAGTGGTGGATCGGTTCACTTATCTTGATAGCTGTGTCATCTTTGATGGTCACATCATTGATAAAGTTACCTCGAGTGTCAGCATCGCATTTCAGAGGCCAAAACATGTACGGAGACAGCTGGATATTAGCTCGTCATAAAAGGTGGATGTATAACGATACGATAATGCAAGCTTAACTGTATGGATCAGAGACCTAACCAGTTAGCGGCGGAGGGACTAAACGCTTGGCCGTGTTTGACTACCGATGCTTGCAGAGTACTGCCTCCGTCTGATGGGAACATCGGGTGAGCAATGTTGTGGTCCGCCGACTGGTCTTTCGCGGGAGGTCTTCTGGCACCTAACTCGAGTAATTACTGAAACCTTTCCGCTTATGTTGGGTAGGTCATGCCAGTTGACCGAGTTTCTCGGCCTGCATCATACGCCGTCGCGTGGCCGGTCCATGACGTGGCAGAAAGGTATGAAGAAAACGACTGTGATTTGGCCAGGCTGGTGCATGTCGTTTTCGTGGATGAGAAATCCGGGATTTTGTACAAAGATGGCTGGAGACCCCATTCAGACGTGACGTTCCTGTATTCGGATTCATACCATCCCGATTAGTTTAATGCATTCCTTTTATGATTCCATTTGCTTTATAAACGGTTTGCGTTTAATCGCAATTTCTTACCTGCTACTTATTGTTAATTTGGCGACATGAGTCGTAGCAACTGAATTCATCTTACTTCCGTGAACGGAGTAACTGAACCGAATTGGCTAAACAATATGTGAAGGAGAAGCACTAGTGCAAAACGCCGATGCGGCACTTTCGATGATGCTGGTGAAAACCACACTCATCTGTGCTGACATCGATTAGCTATTTGACCCTGGCAGGTCAACGCTGGTAGCGTGATCAATGATTTTTGAGTATACACAGATGCATTCTATATTCAATTAGGATACAAAAGGATAAACGTCAAAGTAACGGTCCTATGGAACAACAAACCTTTGTGAACAAGGCCATCACAGTATCTTGGATACTTGGGGAATCCGATGCGCAGAGAGTAGGAAACAAAGACAGGGAGAACAGATCGACGGAGGCATCTGCGTGAGTAGTATCACGGTACACAGGCGGACAACAGAGTTGTTCCTGAATAGCTGAGGGACTGTGTGCGGAGAATTCAAGGCATCGAGATGGTGGCGAAATGGAGGGATTCCGGTTGTTTAAGCCGCTGAAATCAGGGGCAATCGGGGAGACAGATTGAAAACAGATACATCGGTAACCTAGCTTGTGAATATGTTGTAAACGATGACGGACGCGTGCAAGGTCTTCATGTTTGATCATGTTCACGATGTTCCCAGGGTTTGATGGATGAGGGAGCTGAAGAAAGGATGGATGAAAAAACGACCAGAAGAATGCGAACTAAAAATTTCAAGGAGAAGCGAGAGGCATGTCACCATGTGTGTGCATACGCGACGAGCCAAGCGGATACAATGAACTGTGGAGCCGTACGGGTGAAAGGGGAAGCGTCAGAAATCGAGACAACAGTGGGCTGAACACGTGGTGAGTTGAAGAGGTGAAACGTGCATGCACGACTCGAGTGCGAAATAGTAGTAAAGCGTAAGGGTAAAAGAAGCTTTTGGAAACAAACTGCTGGCGACTTGCTTGTGCGCACAGATGACATGGAAAGTGGAGAGCAGGTTAACTTACCTGCGACAGGAGTGGATGCCTGAAAGTTTTGTGACAACGAAAAGAAGCGTCGCATACAGTGAGCGAGCAAAACAAATTAACTTAGACAACAACATGGCCGAAAGATGTGAGAAAAGAGTTCAAAACCACGCGAGCGGAAAAATATGAAGATAACCCAAGCGTGTAGGACACGACTACAAAGCATAGTGGGGAGCATGAAGCAGTGAGTGCTGTGAGTTGGTTGTGTTCGATGATGCTAGGATGATGTAACGGAATCCACAAACATAATCTACAAAATCTCAGCGACAGCGACACGGGAATCCCCAGTAATGCTAACAGTATATCAGCAGGTTGTTGAAATAACTCGGAAATAAACTGCAGTAATGAAGGATGGATTTAGCACGAAACGTTGCAGTGAGTTAATGCTTTTAACGCGGATGCAGTTCATAATGGGATTACGGGTGCTAGCGAAGGGGTAATGAAATGAAAGAACTCCAACAAACTTACCGATGGTGGTGGCAAAGAGAGGCGGGAAGGGACACCTGCGCCAGAGTCAGTCTGATGATCAGATGAAACTTGAGTAGAAGCAGCGATGTGAGGAGAGAGACTTAACATCACGCTCATCGGAGGTGGCCGAATCGCTTTACCATCAGGACTCAGTGAGCCAAGACTACTGGCACAATATTTGTCCTCTATCACAGATTTAAAACGGGCAATCTTTTCGGATTCCGAAGGAGGGGATTGTCCTGGGACTGGACCTAGGTCCAAAAACGCTCTGGTCATTTGAGGGCCAAGGTGGCCAACATGCTGAAAGTTGGATGGACTAGAGATGAGATCGGCCAGGCGCTGAGTGGGAGGCATACTCCGATTATGAGGTTGGGAATGACGCCGGAGAGTACCGTGCCGAGGCACACGATGATTACCTGCGTTGCTTAAGCTTTCAGAACTAGCACTGTTGTCCATCGACGGGTTGTCAACATCACGAAGTAGAGTGGTGAAACGACGGGATTTCTAGAAAAAAAAACAAAAGATGGTGAACCGTTGATTTGACAGAAATAGCTCGTACCCGCGTCTTGATGTGGCCACCGGAAGTTGAAAGCGAATCGCCTAGTTCCAAATACCGGGATCGTGAGGTAGGGAGTACTTCGAGCGATGGCGGCAGAGATAAATCAAATTTTGATTCCACTAGAGGTCGAGGCAAATAGATAAGCCGTTGGACGTCCTGGTTCCCCGTGCCGGAGTCAGAGAGGGAACCAGGTGGATGGCCTGCGGAGTTGCCTAAAACGCTGAGTTTTGTGGCGGTGACTCCCGGTGAGGAGTCATGGAGCGGAGGATTCACAATTTGAAACAAACAGAGATGTGCATCGGGATTCAAAGGTTGGATATGCCGGCCGCCAAGTGTGGTGATCCACTGACCAGTCTTGATGTTATACACAACAAGACCGGCATTTGTGAATACATAAAGATAAGGCCATAGGCACACAAAGGGATTGGTGGAGATTGGTTTTGCTGGCCACATTAGATTGTCTGAACGAGTTCGCTGACGCCGCGTATTGACATAAACTCCACAAACTGAAGGGTAATAAAGAAAGAAGTTGAGAATTAATGAGTAGGAAAACTGAAACCTAAGAAAACCGTGGTATAATAATGTGTGACCTGTGCGATGTATGACGGATAAAAGAGGATAGCCATTTCGTCGGGTGTCATCCCCGTTCTCTCCACAGTATAGATGCATATGGCAGAGGAGGATTAGTTGTGTTACGTCGATTACCCCCATCCACTGTGGTCCATGAGCAAAATTCACTAACTCGAAAACGGAAGTTCCATGATTCTCGTCCCCACCGAGAACAGAGTGAACACTGAAGTGGGTTCACAAATGATCAACAGGCCGCCCAGTGTTTCTCCGGGGGTGTGGTGGCTAACCGGACGAGTAACGGTGATTAATACAGAAGAAAAATCCCGAAAAACACTACCCTAGTTAAATTCAGAAAATAAATGACGAATGGGACAGATCTCCGGTTTGTTAGTGTAGGTCAGACAGAAACTTTCGGGCCAAAGAGCAGCAGCGAAAACGGATGTATCAAGCAACCGTTTAGTAGAAACAACACAATAGATACCGGAAAAAACATTTGTCTAACAAGAAAGGTTTGGGAAAAAAGCAAAAGAAGCTACGGCACAGTTCAACTAAAACAACAGCTGTCCGTCAGGCGCAATTTCTAAGGAGAGTAATAGAAATGCTCGGAGAGTTGTAGCGACTTACTTTCAAACACAAGCAGAAACTCGTCCTCGTCCACTTGCACACTAAGATAAGCATCACATGCATTTTGTTGGAAAAAGTTGAGAGCAGGGTCCAAATCAACCAAGTCAGTGCGAAGCAAGGCTGAGAGAGAATGGAAGAGAGTTATTGCTATCGCAAACAGAAATACATCCGTATCGTATACGATCGTTTCGCTGCAAAACAGCTAAAAGAAGATTGAATTGATGAGTTTTCAAGGAGTGAGCAGTGTTTTAGAGCGCATGCAACTATCGCCCACTAAATTAATTCACCCAAATGAGACCCAAGCAACGAAGTGTGATAAGGCCAGTTGCCATGAGACGAGGTCACGAAATTAAAGCAAAAAGTAACCTAAAGTGAGGAGAACACAAAAGAGTGTAAAAACAAGATTACAAATGGAAAGAAGTTAGAAGAAAAAACTTAACTGTAAAGTGATGGTCAATAACAGGGAGTAAGAGGTCGCACATGAGATGTCACGTGGACCCGTGAGTCTCAACAGAATCAGTGAGCTATGTGTATATACAATGAGCAAGAGTTTATCTAAGGGCGAATTCCAGCTTTCATGGTGAAACAATACGAAGAGAAGTATGTTCGCTTCAGTTGGCCCGTGAATCCAACAGAAACAACTGCCAAGAATGAGCAGATTCATCTGTCACAACGATCGCCCAGATGGCATACCACTCACCTTGAGGTGGGGTTTCTGACCATATGGGGTAGAGAGCAAAGTGGCTAGGACAGCCAACACACAACCAATCGCCTCCACGAACCATGGTGAGAGCTTGTACTGCGTCCGGACAGGATATTTCACGTAGCCTACGGTGACGACCCCGAACACGCGCGATTTCGATTATCCATACAGAGCGTCGGCCAGCGGCACACAGAAGACACACGGTGTTGCAGCGGCTCATACCGCACACGAAGAGTGTACAGGACTTGGGGTCGGACACTTTTATAGGCTCTGAGTTCATTCCTTCGATGGTGCCAAGTAGGAAAAGTTTCAGCCGACGCTGCTTTTCTGAATGGAGGCAAAGGTGTAAAGCCGAAGGAGTAAGCGACTGGACGTGTGCAAGAAAACATCACGTCTCTGGAACAAAACACCAGAAATACGAAGCAAGGAAGCACCTATGGGGCATCAAGATCGTACAGTGAAAGTAACTAAGAAGTGGGAGATGACGGACCAACCTTGTATTGCTACCACCAATTGGAGCTCTTCCGCCAATACCTCAACTTGATAGACAGGTTTCTTATCTCCCCGTCGAACAATAGCTTGAAGGAAGAGGAAGGGTTTGGAAATCTTGGCTGAATGAATGAACATACGGTATGCCAAAAAAGTGAAGGCTAAAATGAGATTGGCTATGCAATGAAAGAAGAGGGGAGCTCAGAGAGGTATTGGCTTGCGACTGCCATACTCAGGTCTCCGCTCTTGTGTGTTCATGTAATACCCCAGCAGGCAAACAAACGTTTAGCGTCACGTGGTAGAAAAGCCTAAGCCTAAGGTATTGGTGAGCTGTTGTAACCACAAATGGAAGAAGAGGTCTTTGACAATGCAAGTAATGCCTTCCGCTCCATTACTGCTGAAAGCAACGTGAGCGTAGAATATTTAGGTTTACAGGAGCCCAAGTGCTGAGCAACTGAAGCAGCCAATTGAATCAAGGTCAAGAATGGTGGGCCGCTAGCCCATAATGAACGATGTAATAAGAAAGAGAGATTACAAACGGTAACGGCTTTCAGTTTCCTGCACTGTGAATGATTAAGTGAAGCACATAAAATTATTAGATTAAGGATAACCAAGAGAAAAAGTGGTGGCTCAAATGAAGGAAAAGTGAAGGGCGAGTTCGGCCATTAGAAGCCGAGTCCACTGAGCGTAGGTTAAGTAGGACAGGTTACTCTGAGTGCGCATTCCGGAGACAGTAAAGTAGTTATTGTTAGTATGACATACAATGACCGCGAGACGGTCTCTAAAGCAACGTTCTGATTCTCATATCACCTTCAGCCACTACGGTGTCCGCGCTTCTGGTCAGTCGGATAGGGGAGAAGAGCTGATAGTAGACTTCGTCTGCGGTTAAGCTTAGAAGCACGGTGACACACTAAGGACAGTCAAGTGAGATCCAACCAAGAAGAGTAATCTCCGCTCGAGTCCTGAGAGCGACACAAACATAGTAAGTGCAGAAAGCCGTCCACGCAATAGGGACATGAAGTGGACAAGCCTCATGACTTGAGGCTAGTAGGCGCATATTATCATGTACGCGTGTTTCGGACATAGCATTTATAAACTTCGAGGGAACTGACACAGAGTGCGAACCTTTAAAAATCGAATGTAGTACAGTGCCCTAGTCTGGAATAATGTTGGAAAGGCTTATGAAGCTGGCAGCGGTCTGCTGCTAGTAAATACGAGGAGAGCATACGTGAAAATGAAAGAGGAGAAAAAATGACTGGCCCTGTAAAAGTGAATAATGTTCATCCCATGGGTGAATCGTTATGGTGTATTTGGAAAGAAGACTGGCAGCTCAGTGATGTGAAAGCTATTGGGAGATGGACAGTGGTGAGGAAATGAAGTAACAAAAGGATTCAGAACCAGTGTAAGAAAACACTTACTGCCGTTCTTCACATCCATTACATGCAAGCCGTCATCCGCGCCAACCAGAATACGGTGTTCATCTGTCGGTACGAGAGGAAAGCAGGGGTATTAGTTGCACAGATATAAACAGTGTTACCAATATGAAGCAAACGAAATAAAAGACTATTTCAGTCGAGAACAGCTTGTTTCCATGCATGATTGGTAACATGTGTGCAGAAGAAAACGAAGGGGTTCAAACAGAAATAAAGTCATGCCGCATGTGGAGAAGAAAAGATGCAACGTCATACCCGTGATGGAATGAGAGATGTCCAGTCATAGAGCGCAGACTGACGGTGCATAAAGTCGGTGGACTAAGTTATGCTTAGTCAACGAATAGATTGCGACTAAGTAAAGTCGTATTGGATCCATAAAAAGGCTATCCAACGAATATAAAAATCCATTACTTGGTTGAGAATCCAAAGTAGACCGAGAAATGTGAGGCTGTGGTCTCGTTTGTTCACAGTGAAATCCCGTTCAACACGGTGATTGCCTATTCAAGGACGGCGGGTGCATCTGCTTACAACAGGTGAATGTACGAAAGGTGGGTCGCACAAGGATGCGACAATCGCAAGGGGTTCGAGTGCAGACCTTGGTGTGATTTCATAAAGGTGAAGGCGTATACATCAACAACCCCATCAACTCGCTTCTCCTTGGATACGGTCGCACGGTTTTCGGTAGAAGTATCAAAGTTGTTTACTCTATTCTAGGGTGCTTCTTGCGAGATCACCGAAGACGGTTGCTTTGCTTTGAGGTATCCACGCACCAGCTACTTTAAGCCAGAAGTATACGCACAGTAGCAATGCTAACAGATTGTTGCACTTAAGCTGCTGTCAGAATTGCCACATTAATTCTTCCCAGGATTGCTTAACATGCCGCATGTAGCGCTATTGAGCTAAACAACGAAATTACTTATCCACTCAGCCTCTGATAGTGGTAGTATTTCCCGCTTAAGAAAAACAAAATTTGAGACGCGCTCTAATAAGCGACGCACCATGAACTAATAGCCAAGCGCATAAATCGAGACGGAGTTGCGTAGGGGAAGTTTGTCGATGACAGCCAGAATGCAGACAGCATAAGCTATCATTTGTTTGCCCGATATCATCTTCGACTTCACGTTTTAGACGCATTTAGAGGGACCTGGCACACCAACTGGTGCTGTTGAAAATGCAACATGCCAGTTTCGGTTAAACCAGGAGGTTGTCAGGTTTCCTACATAACTGAACAGAGTCTAGAATGGGAAAATTGTGGGCTAAACTATTGAAACAAGCGACATTTTTCTACTATGCTGATCAATAAAAATGTTACCGGGACAATGTGTGACTTCTACACACGGTTGAATCCGGCCAGAAAGTTCGAAACAGAGACCGTGAAAAAAGTGTTGGGAAAGAGCGTACGGCACTGACTGGAAAGTTGATTGTTGTCTTGTTAATACAATGCACTTCGCTATTTCCATCCAATATGCACCTAACGGTTTCCGTGCAGCGAAGTGGGTGTCGCAATACCACAAAGGGTCGGTTACATACTGGTGTGGTAGATGAAGCTGTTAAACTCAACGAGCATCGTTCCATTGGGTTAGATTACCCAGAAGACATTTAGAATCGCGGGAAAGGTGCTATCGTTTACGTTAACCCACATCAGTGTAATAGGACAGTTCCGATAGTGCCAAGCTAGTCAAAAACCCCAAAAATTATCATTCAGTCGAGCGCAAGACGTAGAATTCCTCATATTATTTGCATAGCACCCATGTGTTACCAAACAGTTTGATGCATGTAGCACTTTTCACCCGATGACCAGAATGACTTTTTCCACTCACTATACAACGTTTACTAAAAACTTTAATCGGTTTTCCTACGCAAGCAAAATTTATTCAGGCATGTCGCATCGTAGCGTAAGTACATTCTACCATGACAGTCAGGTCCACGAGTTGAGCCGGTGAAAGCAATCAATATGGCACGCGGCCGTTTGTTTGAAGGAGAACTGCATGCATCTCTAGTGCACCTCCGATTTTTTTTTGCATTTTTTGGTTATTTTTAGCACATTTGCAGTGAGTGAAAATGCAGAAATCCGACTGTATAAATACTAGTTTGATTGAACTGTTTTCACGTAAATAGGTCAAGGGGTCTGTGCTCAAGTGCTGGAATGTAATCTCCGAGCCCCGGATCTGAGTCCAGGCCCTGAATGAGTTTGGGTGTCATGGCAATATCCTGGTCCCCGTACAACTGTCTGCGGATGCGTGACAACCAAGTAAGATACTACTGATACCTTCCATCCCCACTAGTAGATTAAATAACAAGGCTAAATGAACGCAGCTAAAACTCTGTTCCAATGAGAAAGTGGTTCACCAAAGAGCTCGCAGGAAGCATATGTCAAAAATCTTTTATGAGTGGCGAAATGGTACAGAAAATGCTGTTAACTGAAATGATAGTGAAGGGAGTTAGTGACAAGTTGATAACACTGATCCGTAGCTGGAAAGGCTTGGAGTGGTCAGTAGATAATGAACAGAAAGCAAAACAAAAAGAGGGGGGGCTTGAATCACTTGGAAGCTCATGTGACTGAAGGTCAGTTGTTATCGCCCTTAGCTGGAGGCACAAAGGTTGTTTTATGGTGCGGAAATGCCACATCCAATTACGTGCGCCCCAGCAAGCAGTGCACGCAAAATACATAACCATCACAAAATGACACTCATCCATACAGATGCATTTGACTTACACGAGCACATATCAAAAAGAAGAAAGTGTATGTGGTGGAAGACAATAAAACAGAAAATACATAGTACGTACCGAGAACACAGGCACACAGGACTTGTTTGAGTTGCAGAAATGAGGAGTCACAAATCTCTTGAGGTTGAAGGCACTGGGAGAGAGGAGGCGGCAGCAAAACAACAAGTCACGCGAAAGAGAGGCAGTAGCAAAATACAGAAAAAAAGTAAACTGAAACATATGTTGAATACCGCAGAAATCCGGAGCAATATAGCGTAAAATAGTGAAACCAGCCAAAGCAATACAATCATAGGTGTTTAAGAAGCTATTTGGCTGATGACTGGTCGATCACCGCAAAGCACAACATAAAATACGGATCTCCGAATGTGAGTTTACAAGTCGTATTGTGTTCAATGTAGCAAGCGTGCGAACAAAAAACCTGAATGGTCCGAATTACAAAAGCGATTGGGACAGAATGTACTACGCAGCAGATTTCTCCATGTAATAGAATACAAGTACGTATCGACCCACTTGCATACGGATTCACCTGGTCTGACGAAGCCCTAACGTCAAGGACAAAAGGTCACCAAACTACAATACCGACCAATTGTTTCCAAACCTCTCTGAACTCATGAAGTATAGACCCTTTGTTGTAATGTCACCCATACCAGAAAATAGCTTCGCAGAAATGGTCCCAACCAAAACTTGTGCCATGAGTTGCCTAACAGGGCAAGCTCACACATCACATGAATACAGAAAGATAGGCGCCAACCTAAAACCAGCAATTAAGGAGAACCGTTCCCAGAGATGTTTATCACAGTTGCTGCGGCTACAGTAGTATCGTCGAAAACCTACACTGAACTGCTTGCGGGCGAGACGAAATTACGTTTCCAGGATATGAACAAGGTGAGTTTATAGCGAACTAACGTTGATTTCAGGTGTTTGGAATGAAGCTGTGGTCTGATCAAGTGGGCGGTTGTCCACGTGCAGAAGGCACTATTGCAGGTGGAGAAGTGACATGCGTTCGCTCCCATTCGAATTGCTAATCCAGGCCAATTAGGCAGCTAATGTGGTACGTTTGCTTGCGTGTTGAGTATTCATGCATTTCAGGGATTCTATGTTGTGTGAGTTCCCCGGTGGGGCTGCGCCTGAGGTGGATACTGACAACGTGTCTACCCGTATGTTAGCCACCACTTCGTCCACACTGGCTCCGGGAGACAGTTGGTCGTTGGTAGAAGGGACGGGGTGCACCGTCCTCGTGACGGTGCTAGGTTCAGAGTGGTTGCATCCTGTGTGGAACAGGCTATGGCCCAGACACCGCCTTGAGTATGTCTGGTACGCTCTATGGACATTCGCGTATTTCTGTGGGTGTAGAGGAGAACCTATGCACTGCAACTATTGGAACAGTGTAGGACATCATGAATGCACCAAAACCAGTCTATCTTTACTGGCCTACTCTTGTAGTTTGTTATCAAGACAGGGGAGTAAGACTGGACGATGTTCCAGCCACATTGTGTTTATGCGAATGCAACAGAACTGTGTAAGCAGTGGGCAAGGGTACAAACGATCTTGATCATAGGCGTCGTTCACCTCCATCGAAGTCGGTGACACAAATGGTCTTGCACCCTATGGACCTGCGCGTGTTTTATGTAGGTGAACCTCCTCAGCTACTCGATTACTGGATCAGTGAAGGCTACCATGACTCCACCGAACCCAGAAGTGCTTTAGTAACCTTGTGCTGCACGAAAGGACCAAAATGAGCGATAAACGACAAGCACTCACTGGTTGCGCAGTTCCGTTACATTCGTATGAGCCTGCATGTGGTCTGCACATAGTCTAGTCGCATTACACACAAGCGACTTGTTAAGTATTCCACGGGACTTGTCAGGCATTGCATACTGACCCGTAATACACCATTGCTTCGTTGTTCCTTGATAAAAAATTGCAGCACTGAGCCAATAAATCTAGATTAGGTTTGGTGGAATCATCCACATAGGATACACGAAACCACATTGAGGGACAGGGGAATACTGGGTCACCGAATTTGATCAACGTGAACAACGCCAATGATCAAGAGTAAGGCTTACACAACCGCCCACTGCTTGCACAGTCCCGTTGCATTCGCAAGGAGCCCAATGTGATCTGACTATCGTCCAGTCGTTTCCATCCCCCTTTCATTGCTAACGACTTGCAGCAGTAGGCCAAAAAATCTACGCCGTGTCTGGTGAAGTGATGACAGTCTGCACTGATCCAATAACCGAGCAGCTGAATCAGTTGGCCCTACACAAAATCCCCGAAGAATCAAAGGGTGACAGAGGACAACTGGATCGTCGCCTATCTGCTTCATCACTTACGGTCCAAGTGATCGAATTGGCCAAGGTTTAATTCAGTGGGAATCGTGGTTTACATTGAGATGGCGCATCGCAATTCACTCTCAAAACGAGTGCTTTACAATGGCCCTCCAATGCTAAGTCAAATTAGTTTAAGTCATGATAGACTATGCGATTGGAAGTCGAACTTTCCAGTAGTCACATAACTACACAGGTACATATGTAAAGTCAGAAGCACGTGAACTACGAGAAGACAGATGGGGAGATAGGGGAATACTCAATCACCGCCTTTGATAGAGGCGATCGAGGTCCACGATCAAGGGAAGAATTTGCAGTGGCACCCGTTGGTTACACAATTCAGGTGCATTAGCATGACTAAAATATAGTCTGAAGATCGTCTAGTCGCCATACTCCTAATTTCTTGCAGGCGAATTGCTGATCTTCTGCTTAAAATCTGATGTGTCTAAAGTGGTTTGCAGAATGTCGAATGTGGTTTGCAAAACGTTCAATTTTTAGTGAAAACGGTATATATATTTATCTATGGGTGGGCGTCGTCCGTGTCTGGATTTGCCTGTCACTGTGGCCTCCACCGGGAGAGCCACTGATTCCGTGCCTACAGAGAGACCACTGGTGGCTTGCGCTGCACCACCCACTCACCTCATATTCGGTGTAAAACCGAAGGAATAAGAACGAGGAAGCATGTGAATGTGAGCCAACTTTCAACGACGGAGTCGGCCTACACTCCCTCAACAAGCAGAAGAGAAGCAATCCTGCCTACTTGGGAAATCATGCGTACCAGGCGGTGCCTGGGCCATAGCCCGTTCCACACAGGATGCAACCACTCTTTGAACCTAGCACCATCACGAGGACGGTGCACCCCGTCCCTTTCACCAACGACCAACTGTCTCCCGGAGCCAGTATGGACGAAGTGGTGGCTAACATACGGGTAGACACGTTGTCAGTATCCACCTCAGGCGCAGCCCCACCGGGGAACTCACACAACATAGAATCCCTGAAATGCATGAATACTCAACACGCAAGCAAACGTACCACATTAGCTGCCTAATTGGCCTGGATTAGCAATTCGAATGGGAGCGAACGCATGGCACTTCTTCTCCGCCTGCAATAGTGCCTTCTGCACGTGGGCAACCGCTCACTTGATCAGCCCACGGCATTTGCATCGAGCAACTCCGACTTCATTCCAAACACCTGAAATCAACGTTAGTTCGCGATAAACTCACCTTGTTCATATCCTGGAAACGTAATTTCGGCTCGCCCGCATGCGGTTCAGTGCAGGTTTTCGACGATACTACTGTAGACGCAGCAACTGTGATAAACATCTCTGGGAACGGTTCTCCTTAATTGCTGGTTTTAGGTTGGCGCCTATCTTTCTGTATTCATGTGATGTGTGTGCTCGCCCTGCTAGACGACTCGTGGCACAAGTTTTGGTTGGGACCTTCTCAGCGAAGCTATTTTCTGGTTTGAGTGACATTACGTGCAACTGTTTAAAAACAGAGGTCGATACGTCCTTCCATTCTAATACATAAGGAATCGTAATGCCGCAGAATAAATAAGCGGCAAGTGCGATGGAGCTCAGTCCATAAACGTTGTGCTTCTGATAATGTATCATATGCGGCAGAATTAGGAGAATAAAGTACTAGTAGACAAATACCATTATTGCTCTATGGTAGATAGATTGGGCACGTGCGAGGAATCACGTTACCGATTCCTGCGCGTAGGCTGCAAATTGCAGCTGCACCATATGCTGGTCGGGTGCGATGTGCTCCGTGGATCTGAAATCCACCAAGTGAGAATCTAGGAATCACTTGAAATCCGACACCGACATGGCCTCGACCACTTTCTCTACGGACCAAATGCATAACACCTGCGGTTGAGCGCTAAAAGCGTGTGCAATCTGTTTCCATAGAGCTTGTTCGTGTCATGTACGGACTTTAAATCACAACGTAAGAGTACGCCGAGATCTTTAACGGGAGGTACGAGTTGCAGCGGTTAGCCGGCCAGATCGCCCATGTATAACGCGCATGTATAATGACTGGGTTGATATGCAGATCAACCTCTGCACATGGGGAGGCGGTCGAGGTCACACTGAAGTAAGTCGCGGTCGCCGAGAGCATCAATTACTCGCCAAATCTTCAGGTCGTTTGCAAATAAGGCACAAGGCGACCGAAGGAGCTGAGGTACTTCGTCAGGACCCAAACTGGACCCCAGCACCGTATCTTGGGATACTCCACTGGTGGAGAGATACCAGTCCGTTAGTGGTCATTCACCTGTACCTTCCATTTCCGCCCAATGAAGAAGTCACTGACCCATTTGTGCAGAGCCGCCGACACCGCACATCCTCCGCTTGTTGAGACGGACCACATGGTTCACTTTATCGAACGCTGTATAGAAATCACATCCGACTTCCCGCGGTTCAACACTTACACCTACTCAAGATGCGACATTTAATGAAGCCGTGCTGTGAGGGTGAAAGAGGTTTTTCGACTCCAGCAGCTGCAGTAGACTTATTCACGATCTTCTCGATTACTATGGCCAAAACAAAAGTCAGACAAATCGGGCTGTAGTTGTCCACCTTACGTGGATTATCGCCCTTCGTAATCCGCTTCACTACCAAACATTTGCAGTCGCTCGGCAATGAACCTTCAGACAGCAATATGTTGGACAGATCGGTCACGGAGGGCCAGATGATGGCCGATAACGACTTGGTTCGTGTGAGACCATCGAAGTCAATCTACCAATAGTAGTAGGATGGCTCCAGCGGATGCAAGCGTGGCTGCGAAAACTCAAGGCTGGCAATGATCATCCAGTGACTTTTGTTGCTATAGGCTCTAGGACCGAAACATCACGCACACACTGTTCGTAGCTAGTCAATATCAAGTCCAGAAGCGACGACTTCAAGGCGGTGTAATGAGCGTCGCTGGCAGATGTATTGTGTTGCTCCAGTTTCCATTATCATCTCAGCACACGCTGTCATGACTTCACAATGCACGAGGATAAGCTGAACCTCAGAGCAGAGTAATCGAAGGATGTTAAAATTCCACATGAGCAGGAAGCGGATTGCGATAAACTGCGCCCACGAACAATAGGAAACACTTCAAGTGAATCGGGCACCACAATAGCTTGCATAGACCAGCTTCGGTAGGTGCTTACCAGCCTCCCACAAGAGGACCCATTGTATAGCAGCACACCACCACGGTCGTTTGATAGTTTGTTGCACCGAAAGCACGAGTAGCCCTCGATCTGGACTTCCTGAGAGGTTACCTTGAGATTCAACGAGGTCTCAGCTAGTCCTAATATGTCCGACCGACGAGAAGTAACGAGGTGGCACAGATCCTCACGTTTGTTCATTAAACTGCAAAATTTAGGCTATGCGCAGTTCAGGGTAGGAACGGTTAGCCACACATGGAGCTTTATCGACCAGTGGATCGAGGTTCAGCGAACCTAGGGAACTACTCGAAAATTTACAAAGTGGAGAATAGTTCCCCAATAGTAGTACACCACTTAAGCTCAATGGCGGCGAACTTGAGTTTCTCCTGGTCTGATGGATCCATAGCCTAGCAAATATAGATCTTCAGACCTTTTAGTCTGTCAAGGCGGGATAGTGTCAGTCTCGGAGTGGTTTCATCAACGAACGTGACTCCCAGAGACCAAGTCTACCTCACATTTCTCTTTCCAATATGGGTGGTCTGCTTCAACCTCAACTCCTGTGCACCAATGTCGAAGAGTCCGCCGATCAGACTCTGCAGAAACTCGACATTGTGGTTATAGTTATCGCGTGCATTCGCGTCAGTTGACTAAGGCGCATGAAATATCATGTCGAAACGTCCCTGTTTGTTGGCAATTGCTCTCTCTTTCCTTCCTTCGTTGCATATATAGGCGACGGGTAGGCTAGGTGGCTAAGTGCCAACATAGTGGAAGTAAGCTACCCCGATTTTATTTACTGTATCACACCGATAATGGAACGGATGCACCACGAACGCTACATGAGGGCTACAGTCAGTTTGTACATGTGTTAGTGAGAAAACATTTCGCCGGTTGTTATCTCATGTCAGATTGCGCTTCTTGTGGATGCCCGCCTGTCGAGTACTAGCTTCAGAGTGCTGCTAACCGTTGTTGGGATAGATGGAGTGCACAATTATCGTGACAGTTTTAGGCACAAAGGGTGACTCTATCTATGGTGGAATGGGCTACGGTCCAGCCATCGCGTTACGCACGATTGGCATGCATGTTTTCCCCAAGTTCATACGATCGATGCGCATGGAGAAGGAGTGTGGTCCGGCTCCGAATCAAGTATGGATCCTAGTCTTATTCACTCGGGATTATACAGAATATTGGGAGCGGGGACGAGGCCATGGGTGGTACAGCGCAGGCGCAGGCGTTCTGTGGATATTTGCAGCCACAGTGACAAGCAAAAGCGAGAACGGATGCTGGCGGAGGGGAGTGAGTTCGGTGCCAAAAAACCGGTTCACTGATATAACCTTAAAAGAAGTGTGCATCCTCCAGAAGGAACATTTTAGGCATGTCAGTATGGAAGCGGTGTAAAGACAAAACCGATTGTAAGGCATGAAGCGGCAGACCGTTGTTACGCCCGCTGAAAGCTAGAAATTGGAGCAAGGCTAAACCAAAGTAAAAATACCAAAAATGTTCGGGAGAAAAGGTCGCAAAGAGTAAGTTGTCATGAAGAGAACAAACCTGAGTTTCGGAAGTAGTGAGCAGATTGCGCTGAATTAACTTCACGGAGTTATCAATGGCGCTGAACCAATGCTCCAGGCTTCGAACACTATCGAAAAGCAGGAAGAGCGGAGCGCCAAGAGGACGATCGTCCAAATAGACCTGTTTGGAAGATAAAGAAGGGACCATTAAAGGAGATGAAATAAAAGCATAATTCTCGCATGACGACAACAGAAGCATGTATGGGCAAATAAAGGAAACTGGCCGGCTGCGACTAAAGCTGAAATGGCAATGCTCGTGCAAAATGTGCTAGGGTTTATGTAAATTGAAAAAGAAAAGCAAAGCAACTATATGAGTCGTAAGCAACTTTTCGGCACCTGGGCTGATGGCAATTAGAATCCAAAAAGGAGAAAACAAGGGGATCTATACTTAAAATGCTCGTTTCGCTTTATATATATATATATATATAATAAATATATATATATATCTGTATATATTTATAATGCGGTTCGTCACGTAGGTCTATGATTGGTGTCCCGATAGTGCAGTGTGAGCACATTCTAGCATCCAACCTTGAGTGTTTGGCGTGTTGGCCTGCGGCCATGTTTTGCTATTGATGTCGATGGCGCAATTCTCCTACTGCTACTGAGTATGCGCAGTCCAATGCGAAATAATAACATCCTGCGCCAACGTAGTTCGTCGATCAATATTGGTGTAACTGTCACCTCACCTCTCACACACTGTACAGGAGCTTAAGCGACATTTAACCACCAATGATCACTTGCTTGTTCCCGGGTTCCGTAGCACTCCACATTCCTCCGTCCCTGTCCAAATCTCGCCCTAACCAATTTTTCACCCCAAACCCCGAACGAGACAAATCCACCTATATATCCGCCATCGACATCAACAGCCAAACGTGGCTGCAGACAAGCACGCCAAACACTCAAGGTTGGATGTGGGAATGTGCGCACACTGCACGATGGGGACAGCAATTATTGACCTACGCGACGAACCGCATTAGTCGCCAGGGAGCTTGCGCGGTATGACACTGATATCGCAATGCTGAATGAGACCCAACTGGCTGATCAAGATAAATTGGAGATGATGGTGCTGGGTACACTTCTACTGGATTGAAAATCCCGACGCAACACCACGTGGACAAGGCGTCGGATTTGCAATAGCTGACCGCCTACATAGCCGCTTGACGGGGGAGCCGATTGGTACCAGCCCACGGTTTGTGTCGCTTCGTGTATGCCTCGGACGTGGTAAGTTCGCAATATTTATTAGCTCGCATGGTCCCACCATGAGTTATCCGGATGACATGAAAGACCAATTCTACTCACAATCGTCCTCTGTTATAAGGTCTGTGCCAATGAGTAACCGACTATTCATGCTATGTGACTTCAGTGTACGTGTAGGGCGTGATGCCACAGTGTGGACTGAGGTGATTGGGCTGCACGGGATTGAAGTAGATAATGGAAACAGAGAGCGTTTGCTTTCATTATGTGCCACACATGGCTTGATGATCACGAACAATCAGGTCGCTCTGTGTGCTACTGACATTGCTACATGGACCTACCCACGGAGTGGTCATGCTCACACGCTGGACTACGTCATCGTACGTCAACGGGACATGCGTGAAGTGCGCATACCACGGGTAATGCGTGGAGCTGAATGCAGGACTGATCATAAGCTGGTGCGCACAAAGTTCTACACAAATGTCTGCCAATCGTCTTACTATCCATCGAGCATCAATCGGAGGAAATACAACGTACGCGCCTTTTCGAGTGCAGGAAAGAGACAAACACTGCAGGATGCCATAAAAACCCGCCTGGACGAAGACGACTCCTTGGCTTCTGTCAGCGTCCTAGGGGACCACTTGAAGAAACAGATGACCATTGCTACGGAGGAGACGATTGGGTGTATAAACTGTAAGCGGCCCTACTAGTTCGACGAAAACAGTATGACGATTGGGCCATTAGTACGAGCGAAAAACGCAGCGTCCATCGCATCCGAGGTTGCCCCTAACAACGCGATGAAAAGCAATAATTGTCGCCACATTCGAAGGCAGCTAGCTGGAGAGCTGCGTCAGCTGCAAAATGCGTGGTGGACAATGAAAGCTGAGCAGATGGAGTCCTACGCTGAAAACCGTCAGCAAAATGATGTCTACAACTCCTTGAAGGCAGTGTACGGACCCACCGTGCAGCAAATAAAGACCCTGAAGGACTTTGGGACTGGCGCCGTGTACACACAATCTGATGACATCTTGAAGATGTGGCACAGACCCTTCGACACTCCTGAACAATCGATCCGAGGTTAACTGGGACACACTGCACGGACTGTAACACCACAGCGTACTGTCCGAACTTGAGGACAAACCGGGAATGTACGAAACATAGAGAGCGCTTGCCCAACTAGGGAATGGGAAATGCGATAGCGCTGATGGTATACCACCGGAAATATCCAAAAGCAATGCTTCCTGGCTTTGGGGACAAATTTGCAATCTGATGGACATGTCCAAGTTGGACCCCGCATCCAAAGATAACTCGCTTCGGAAAATCCGTGGAAAGTGAACAGACCCGACAAGTAACTGACTAGCGATTAACATGCTGATGTTGATACTTCATACTCTGTTTCACACATCATTTCATCGCTAATGTAAGTCGCGCATGGGTGCAGTTTCTATCTAGGATGATTAACTACTGACTTGATGCAACGCAGCATCGTTATTGCACTTGTCTAAGAGGCACCTACTAGAAGTTGAATTGGACATGGCCAATCTTCTGGGTGGACTAAGAAGAAGGCAATGTCAACGATAATAGTAGGTCAGTGGCTTAGTATGCTACGTCGGAAAGAAATCGGTGCATAGCGACAATTGTTTATGTTAGGAGCAACAAATGGCTGCACCCAAGATGTACGATGCAGATCGTTACCAAATAGCTTATGGTCACAGTAAGATGCACAGCGGTATGTACATACGGATGGGTACTTGGATGACAGCCATGCCACGTATTGGACTTTTGCAAAACAGTGCGAACATTGTTTGGAAAACTGCATGCTTGACGGTGGGCAGGGGGACTTATTTGATGTAGTACTGTGGCAGTTGTCGTGCCAAGGAGACCGTAAGAGGCGAATATGTGGTATTGCCACCTGTTAGAGCTTATGGTTGCGCAAAGAAAACGTTCTTTGAGAATCCGCACGTACCTCGGGCAGCAGATGATCGGGCAGGTAAGGCAACACTGAGAGCTTGAAGTGAACATCAAATCGTATCCGCACGCAGTGCGATCTACCTTATCAGCTACGCAAACCAGACTGTAATTATGGGAGGCGATACCTAAGTACGCACTATTTTACTGTACCACTTGTTTATTAATCATTCTACCTGGTACCCGTACTGATGGCTTACTTCACTATTCCTGTGTCGGTTTCGTCAAACTATGGATGCCCAGGATTTTAGGACTGTCATTTATGTTCCGGTATAAATGTTAACGAAAGCATCAACAGTTCGTATTGGGTACTTATTCTCATGCGTGCGAAAATGGCTGTTAGCCTTACCTACAAGCCAAACCCATGCAGGTTTGTAGTACTATTTTGTACATGAGGTGTAATGTGTCTCTATCCAGTTTGTGGTAGTTCATAATTAAGTTTAGACAAACGCACATGCATATGTTGCCCTCGAATTGCCATAGCCCACGGATGACGCCAATGCATATGTATACTGAATGAATTCGACAAGAATAAACACACAGCTTATGTACGGCTACCTGAGCGCAGGAAAGCGGCACGGGGGCAAACCAGTATTACATTACCAGGACATGAAGAAGGTGAGTTTATCACGAACTAATGTTGGTTTCGTGTGTTGAGACTCAAAGGCAGAGTTGATGGGACTGAATATCGTTGGGTTGATCCAGAGAGCAGTTGCCCAGGTGCATGAGAAGGCACTAATACACGGGGAGCAGAAGCGCGATGCGTCCGTTCCCATTTGATTTATTAATCAAGGCAAATAAGGCGGCTAATGTGGTACGTTTGCCTGCTTGGTGAGAATTTATGCATGTCATGAGTTAGATGCTGCTTGAGCTCGCCGGCGTGGCTGCGCCTGATGTGTATGTTGACAAGGTGCCTACCCGTCTATTACCCACCAGTTCGTCCATACTGGCTGCAGGAAACAGTTGGTCGTTGCAGGAGGTGACGGAGTGTAGCGTCCTTGTGACCGTACTATGTTAAAAGAGTGGTTCCACCCTGTGTGGAACGAGTTACGGCCCAGCCACCGCCACCTCCACTGCGCACATAAGGTGGTGGCTAGACCGTAGTCCGCTCCACACAAAATGCATGGAACTACTCTTTGAGCCTAGCGCGGCCATGAAGACCGTGCACCCCGCCCTCCTCCTATAACCATTCACAGTCGCCTGGAGATAGTAATCGAGGTAGAGGGTATTAGACAGATAGGTAGCTTCTCAACCTGCACATCAAGCGTAGCCACACCGGGGATATCAAACAACAGCCAATCATTTGAAAGAACAATACCACATAATAGTTATTGAATAAGGCATACTGAAAGCATACGGAAATGAGCATTTGCAATAAATTGTTTTTCAACAATCCGCAATAAGTTCAAGATGACAGAAAAATATATTTTGTTAAAGATGCCACAAGCGCGAAAAAGGTAACGAATATTAACATAATCTGCTTAAGCGACGTGGGAAAGTAAAAGGAAGCTTATGCAGACAGACATTAAAGTGACTTAAAAAAGTAAGCATTTACATAATACAGCAAACCAATCACCATAAATAAAGAAACTCAGCAAGTAAGCACGTAGTCAGTAAATCGAATCCAGCATACCTACAAACGCAGTACCGGATCTGCCTGCATTCTAGGCAGCACCAGTCGCCGTTTCGGTGCTGGTCCTGAGTGACCTCGCTCGTGGCTAACTAGGACTTCCTGACTCCACGCACTCGCGACCACATGTGCCACAGCACCATGCACTCGATGTCAATGACATACAAAGCATCGGCGCATGCAGCTTTCACATCTGCCGCTATTTCTCCGCATGCATGAGGGCTTTCTCTTGCACCTCGGCAAAGGCCTTCGTGATCAGATCGCGCCATGCACGCCGATCAACCGCCTACGAGTCCCAAAACATGTAATCAACATTCGAACGTGATAGGCTCGATTTGATCATGTTCTGCTAACGTAACTTCGGTTTACCAACGTGCACTTTCATAACACTCAGCTAACCATGCAGCAGCTGTTGCAGTATCCGCGTCGAATCCATACGCCACAAATGACAGAGCCATCTCAGATGTCTCAGAAAAAGTATGCAGTCCACTGCATACATTCCACCTCGGCACAACACTTCCGTGTCTACAATTCTGTTGTACCAACCAGTGCGCAAAATCCGTTACAGACACTGTTGATGGAACCGCTCGAGGTATCGCACATCCCGCTGATACATCGTACAGGTTCCGCTGTCGTATAGAAGAACGGACAGCACTATGGATTTGTACTCCATTAACTTGGTGCTAACTGTAAACTGATAGCTGTTCCACACTCGGTACTCTAGCTTCACGAATGCCGCAGCTGCCTTCAAGACGCGGATACGCAGCTCACTGTGTAGCTGCTGATCAGTCGACATCACACTCCCAAGGTAGCAGAAGCAGGAGACAGTTTTCAATAGTTCACCACCAATGCTGATTCGCGGCATCATTGCAGACTGCACCTCCGGTGAAGGCTGAAAGAGACAGACAGTTTTGCTCGCGTTGATGAGGAGCCCGAATTTGATCACTGACGAAGCCAGAACATTAGTCATGTGTTGTAACTCATCCGCGCTGTGTGCAAACAAGGCACAGTCGTCAGCAAACAACAATATACGGATAGTTGTCTCACAGACTAGGGTTCTCGCACCGAAACGACGGATGTTCAGCAACCCACCATCACTACGGTGCTCCATACGAACACCGTAAGCACAATACATCATGGCATGAAGATAAATATTAAATAGGGCAGGAGCCAAGACGCAGCCTTGCTTCACACCAGTGACAACTGCAAAGTCATCCGAGGTCTCTCCATTCAGCTGCACCACAGCCCACATACCGCTGTACAGACATTAAACTTACAAACGAACTCGGACAACCAAACTTACCAAACATCAGCTACAATGCCTCGCGATTCACCGTATCCAAAGCCATGGGGAAATCAACAAAAATCGAGTACAATGGCTAGTGTCGTTCTCTACACTTCTCCTGCAACTGACGAGCCGCAAACATCATATCTATAGTGCTGCGATCCGAATGGAATCTACACTGCTCTTCCGCCATGTTAGGTATCACAACCTAACTGACGAGGCGGTTGAGCAGGATTCGGGCAATCAACTTGTCCACACAACTCAGCAGGTTGATGTCACGATGATTGGTGCAACATTGCTTGCTCCCTTTGCCCTTGTACAGTGGTAGCACGAGGGCATACTTCAGCTCATGAGGCACCTCCTCCTCAATCCACATGCGTTGCATCAAGTGGTGCAGCGCAGTCACCAACGCGGGTCCGCCGTGTTCCAATACTTCAGGCGGGATCAAGTCGGCACCGGCACACTTGCCGTTTCGCAGCTGAGTGTTGTGTCGCCGTTGATGCCTTCACCCCACGACCGCAAGAAGAAGTCCAAAGACGAGCCAGAAGGAGACTTGTATACATGAAATCACAGTTGCTCATATAGTTTGAAGGCAAAATGAAGGGAAGCTACTAAAGTACACTTGAGCCAACCAACTGAAGGAAAAACGTAAAATGCAACGGCGAATAAGCAAACGTGTATGTAAGAGCGAATCGCGTAAGTCCCTAAAAATAGCATCATTGGACTCCAAGCGTAAAGCGAACGACCATTTACAGTGACGGGCACTGGCCAATCAGAATGACGAAATGAAACGTTTAAACAAAAGTCACGAAACAAACGCGAATAAGGAATGCAGACCCAAAAGTTGAAAACTAGTACAATAATTGTGTGACACTAAATATTCCTTTAACATAACCAAGTAGAACAGTAATGAGAAGAAAAAAACCAATAGAATATGTTCTTGCAAACAGCGCTGCTGAGAAAGGCATGACGAGGAGCGTCCATTAACAATGACGCGGATGTACCAATCAGGCGAACCCAGTAGAGCGTTTAAACAACAGTCAAGAAACAGAAAATAGGAAGAGTAAAGAATAGCTATCAAGCTCGGTCACAATAAATGAATGTCTAATAGCTGTTCTCCTAATACTGAGAATACGGTGGTTGGGGCACAACGACAGTTCGATCTATTTCTAGATAGCTACCAGCAAGCATGAATGATCTAGGTTGGCATGCTATCACAATGCGACATCTAAGTATGTCTTCCCATAGTCCAAGTCACTTCCTGCACACGGCATCCATCACACGGACTAGAATTTCCTGGTAGGCTTCTATTTGACTACGTGGTACAATTCGCTAATGGGCAATCGCTTTGCAGTCTGAAACACAACCAACTTCACGCTGAGCTTTTATAGATTCGTAATACACTACCACGACTGTACCTCCGTCACAATTTGATAGCCATAAACCCGAGTCTCATCACCTGCTATGGAAGTCTTCATTGTCACTGACAGTGGCATACAGTTCCTGGCTGGTTAGGTTTCTGATCGTCAGTTAACAAACGCGGTACATATGTTGCACTGAGACGACGCATCTCAAGTTTGCCACTCGAAAGCTTATGACATGATCCCAGGCTGATGCCCACTCATCAGCAACTTCTCGGACAGCTAAACGACAATTTCTAAGGATCACAGCACGAATTCCCTCGGCATGATTATCGTCTGCTGGTGCGGAAGGTCACCTAGAGTTAGGATCGATACCGAGCGACATACTGCCGTGTTAAACACGCTTAAACCACTCATAAGGTCCTCGCAGAATATTTGACTAGACAATTGTAATGTTCATAAAAGTTTTGCCAATTATGTAGCTAAAGTTCACACACACAGGGTTGGCGACATCTGGTTTTGGATTTACCAGTGACTGTGGCCAGCCACAGGACGCCTGCGCCTACAGAGGGACCATGGATGGCTTGCGCTGCACCACCCACAGCTCCATCCCCACACCCCATATCCAGTGTAAACCCGAAGGAATAAGACCGGGAGGCATGCGGATGGGAGCCACGTTTCATCAACGGAGCCGGCCCACACTCCTTCACAGGCAAACACAACCACGCTGTATTTGGGAATCAAGTGCACACAAGACGGTGGCTGGACCGTAGTCCGCTCCACACTGACTGCATGGAACCACTCTACGAGCCTAGCACGACCACAAGGACCATCCCCTCCAGCAACGACCAACTGTCGCCTGGAGCCAGATAGACGAGGTAGTGGGTAATAGACAGGTATGCACCTTGTCAATCTGCACATCAAGCGCAGCCACACCTGGGATGTCAAACAACAGCCCATCACTCAAAATGCCGATATCGAATAAAGTAAACGCACATGACGACATAAATACTAGTAAAATGAGCATATAGAAGAAATTGGTTATAAGTGAATCCGTGATAAATACAAAATGTCCGAGTTATTTAAAAAATACCACGCGGTAAAAATAACGCAAGTTTACCACAATTTACATGAGCGACGTGTGCAAGTTTGGAGAAGATTATCAAGTACGCAGAACAAACCAAATAAAAGGTAATAAATTGTATCCACATTAAAAAGACCTAGTTTAAGTGTAAGTTGATTTAGCCCAAATGCGGTGAAGAAGAATCATATATATATATATATATATATATATATATATATATATATATGTACATCGTTCAAAAAAATCAAGTTTTGAACTTACACTCTAATCAGCACAGAGAGAGCGCCGTGGCTACTGAGCGCTTGTTTAGACAACAAACTGTCACTTGCCGCGTTTAGCTCTGGCCAATAGTGGTCGAGCTACAGCCACTGAAATGAGCACGTTCACATGCTGCTCGTCTGATTAGTGTCAAAGCGACAGGGAAAGGGCTTGGTGAACGTGTGTGAAATTTAGCCACAAAATTGGCAAAACTTTTACGGTCATTTCAATTGTCTAGTCAAATTTGGAAACAGGATAGGCAACAAACATGGAGTAAATGACCCAGTGCCACGCCACCCAGGCGCATAGCAAGTGATCGAATAGACCATCACAGCTGAGCAACTACAGAGAACAGGGTAACATACTGATGGATGTAAGAGCTTAGGAATTGGTCTGCTAGGGTAAAACATACTGCATACCTACAAATGGTGAGTCTAGCAGAACGGTGAGGGAGCGAATGTGAGAACAGACGTTCGAGTTACAAATACAAAACCATTCAACATGGCTATAGGTGGAAAACTGCTAACCACGCAAGTCTTGAAGTGAAAGCCAGATTGAAAATATGAGGAATAACGATGACATTATCGCTGACCAACCTTCAAAATCTTCGGTATATCATTGCGTTTAGCGTGAATGACGTCCGCATGGGAGACACGAGAGACCGAGAAACCGGGACAGCGTAGGTCGGCAATACGGCTGGGACAGCAGGATGTGAAGGTCATATTGACAGAAGTGTTAGAAGGACTAGTCACTCGGAACCAAGGGAACATATTACTCGCGGGGAAGGAAGAGCTGTGATCGCTGACTCCGTTTCCATCGTGCGTGATCTTTGAAGAAAGTGAGACAATGTGACATGAACGGCTAGAGGTAGTGAACAAGTAGAGTTGCTTTACGGTTGTGGATGAGCCTTTTTAGAAGGAGAGGCGTAAACAATCAGTTGTATGGAGAGATCCCATACTATAGCCCACTAAGGATAACAACAGAGGGTGAATGTTGTTGTAACAAACAAAAGCTCTGCAGCGTTTGGAAATTAGCACACCGTTTACACCGGTTACCCAGTGAAGTACCGTGCAATGGCAGTATCAAGCACTAAATACTTTTCATGCACTAGTACACAAACAAGGGCTGTCATCTGCAGATTCAGATTGTGGTGTACAAACAACATAAATCGACTCAAGTGTATCACAAAGAGATGGAACAATAATTCTGTAAAGATGGGTATCGAGGTTAAGGCCGGTGCGTTGTGTTAAGAAAGTTTTAAAAGAGAAAAGGTGCTGACCATAAGTACCAAGAGCATCGAAGGAGCTAGGGTGTAATGCGGCTATGAAAGATCAAACTGAGGTGTTTAAGAAGAGTATCCAGAAGGAACAAGCGAGTGCATGCCCAAAGGAGAGGCTGTGAAGAACTGCGATATTGTATCTCTGGTTACTAATGTACCAGTGTTGACTACACTTGTGAATCGGATAAACGTGCCTGGTGTTCTCTGCCAATACCAATTTAGGTAATAATAGAAGCTAACCAGTGTGTGAACAAAAGGTCTGCATTCACTTCATGTCGCCAAACAAATTACGTAGCCGATCACGGGACGAGCGAAAATTCCGCCCAGCGATCCAGAGAGCTTTTATGCTCTGTTGCCGTGCACCTGAGTGGCCACCTGGGGATTTCGACAAATGTGATGCTAACGGACACAAGCCCAGATTGCTGATTATCATCAAGACTCGGAACACGAACTTGAGCCAGTGCAAGTGGCTCGATTGCAAAAACGTCTGAGGGGCCGATGCACAAACACAAAATGATGGGCCGAGGTGTTACGTATTTCAGTCATGGGGAAAATAACCCAACCATTGGTGGCCAAATACGGTTAGCTGTCGAATTCCCACAGCGCACAGTAACCATTTTGTGATCCACACAGCGGCACTGGTTGTAATGTGGCAATGTACACCCTACCGCAGATGAATACGTCTATATCCCAGTGTTTTCAAAAGTGGTTGAAGTTATGAAAAAATAGGGATCTTGTCGATACGCGGTCACAGCTTCGGTGAGCGGACCACCAAAGATAAGTAAACAAGTCGTCCGTTTAGAGAGATTATTCGGTAATTTTGGGAATAATTGATGTCTCCGTTCAGCTTTATACTAGCATTAAGCTTAACCTTGAAGTATGTAGCGCTATGCATCGGCCCATTAGATAACGTTTACTGAGCAGCTAAAGCTGGCTCAAAGAGGACCTGTCGTTGTCCGTTACCCAAAAGAACCTTACTCAGGCAGTGGAAGAAAGCAGTGGGGAATCATTCATAATCTTTTCGGTGGCTATCATTATTTGTACGCTGAGGACAAAGAAGCATGTACGTCGCGTATTGTGCAGAGGAGTACACTTCCGGATCCGCCGTTGTTGCCGAAGTCCGTGAGTAAGGAAATGGAAGCAATTCCGGTAGGGTCAACTCAACGGGTGCACAAGCTCGGTGATCGTGGACGGCAAGTGTTAGCATAAGGAAAGACGTGTCAAACTGGCTTTAACACGAAGCCGCCCAGTATATATGATATGCACAACCTCAGGATTTACAAAATGTATCAGTTTAACAATAGTATTAAATGCTGGAAACTGAGTTGGATTCACCCGTTAAAGTTGGGTTAGGCCATGATAACCCGTTTCTGCCGTTCTATCCAGACTACTTGGCTAGCGCTGCTGTGGAAAAGCTGCTTTGGGCGTCAACAACGTTGGGTCATACCCACCGACAGGTGAATAGAATCCCCAATTCTGATTACTGAACGAAAAACAATGTTAGGCGTCAACAGCCATCAGAGATTGCCCACAAGTATAGTGTTTTGAAAGAATGGACACCATTGGTTGCATGGGACGTGCCACAGATGTTGTGGAGTATGTAACATGCACTTGTTCGTTCCTCAAGCTATGGTTTTGCAACACAGCTGTGGGGAAGGCATCAATCAGCAAATCGAACGTGGATGAGTGCCATGAGGTTCTAATCGCAAGCTGGAGGGAAATGCACACTCATCAATGCTTAACGACGCATGCAAGTAAAAGTACAAGATGATCGTAAGAAAAAAAAACCGGAGGGTATTGACAGACTTGACCCGCCAAGTGGGCAAAAGAAATGGTGAAAAGTGTGATGTCACAGTACTTAGTGGAGTGAAACTAATAACTCAACACACATACGAGGTTCATTCAGTAAAGAAAATTGCAAATCGGATCAAAAATCTAGTTAAATGCATAAATGTAATTTCCACTCGTCTACACTAGCCACAAGCCGTTTCGAACGATAGTAGCGGTCGCGTAACCCTTTAAACATGAATGCATCAGATCAACCACGGGCTGTTAAGGGCAGGTGCAGTGCACAGTTTAGGCGCTTACAGCTTTTGTGCGTTTATTCGTAAGAGTTTTGCTACAAACCACTGAGAATACATTCATGCCATTCGGATATCCCAATCGCATCAACCTCTGCAGTTGTGACGGATTTGTTGCTGAAATTGACGCGTGCAAGCACTTGGATTTTTTTTACACTCGTTCGAAAGAGCTTTCTCGATGAGATCAAACTAACCGGAAACCGTGCTTCACCGGTTCCGGCAGCAATAAGTGCCTCACATTTTGCACTACACTGCTGCATACCCAGCATTAAATAGGAATCATTGATTAACAAAGCTGCCCGCTACCCTAGGTGACGTATTTAAATGGGACAGTATGACACATCACGCCGGTCAGCGCAGCCACAACGACCGTAGGTCTACGCTGACGCTACTATTTAGCCACATCGCCAGTCCGACCGGTGTGTACAACCGACCGAAGTTCAGAACATCAACCAGTGCACTAAGTCAGGTAACGTTAACATGCTCAGTAGCGGACTCGGTTAAGTAAAGATCCAAGTGGGCTCCAAGAGAAGGGCACCTGTGGATAGGGAAAATGTAGTCGGTTGGTCAAAGTGGGGTTAGTCTTCTCGCATTGTTCCAAATGATTTCACCTATGGCTTGATAATTTGTCCCAAAGAAAGCCGAAAGAGCTGAACAACTTACCAGACATGCTTTGGTTTCGAATTGTCTGTCCTACTATCCTATTCGTCAAGTGCATGCATATCTTAGTTAAGGGATACGAACTGCTAGCAGCATAGGCCGAAAGGCGGATCAACACAGACTACTTCACTGGAAGCCAGTGTGCGCCAGAAAATAAATAAAGTGTAGTTGATTCTAAACAAAGTAATCGTGCGCAATTCGCTTCCTCTGAACTACGATCGGCAGGGTCCTAATCGTCGTTAGATCAAACTTTGGCAGAACGTCAAGCGAAAATAGACAGACTCGGGTAGCAAAGCGGTGAACAAGACAACGAAAATCGGGCACCACCCAAAGCACCGGTCTTAATAATTACTATAAGTAGCCAGAATAAGGCAAAATAACACAAGTCTTCTGAATCTGCAGCCTATTCTCTGGCCGGACCCAAGTCCCCCGGGACATCAGCCACACTGAGATTGCAGCTAAGCTCGTCCGGGATGCCACCCTTACAATCTCTTCCGTTACAAAAACTACTAACATGAATAGGCAGTAAGCTAGGATCAACAATCACCCGACCTCGCGATTCAACAAAAATGGTATCAAACCATAGCACCATAACAGTTGTGTACACAGATGTTTCCGAAGCTACCATCATCAAATCGCGTGCAAAGTTGTCTGATTGAATATTTTGAAGAACGACAAAATTAAACCCAGTCGCTAATCGCCCGGACCCTGTACACTGGTGAATGTCGACTTTTTAGTGGCTTTAAAATCTGCCATTGTATTAGAAAATGTTTTCTTTACAAGTACGCCACAACACTGATTCCATGAGATACACATATATCCTGATGACTTTTGAAGCGCGGCATACAAAAAATACCCCGGAAGGATACAACAAGCAAGATCGCATAAACACAATCTTCATCCTTGGCGTGCCAGAGCTTATCTCTCAAGGTATTTAGGGGAGCTTTAAAGCACAACTTGGAAAAGCGCCGGTTCATTCGCGAAACCCTTTCCTTGAATAACGCTGTCGCGCCATCTCTCAAGACGCTACCCATCTCATCTAATTATAGAGGTAGCCCAAGAATACTGGAAACTCTCCTTTCCAAAATAGCAAATAGCAACTGGAAAGCTAAAACTTCAGCGGAACAATCGTCAAACCCAACCATCTGAAACTCGGTTAAAGGCTACAGAAGCCTAGCAAATATCAGACATGAAATCGTCTAAACAAGCATACCTGCCAGCGAATACAAAGAAGCTTCAGTTGACCACTCGAACTCTCGATTCCGAAGTAGGTCTAAACGATGTTTGGGATGTACCACGGCCAAATCGAGTGGCAAACGAGGTATCAGTATCTCCAATAAAAACGATTAAGAGCGACCTCACGTAGGCAGGCACTCTCGCATGACTGACTCCCTTAGCCACCTTGGGGGTTCCTGAGACAGAGGAAATAGCCGGCTAGTATACCAAAACTCAAGACTTTTCCAATAAGCTGATCGAACTGAAAGGTCGCTAAGTTTCTAAGCCATGCGATATCATCGATGTGTCACGAAGAGATGGTTCTACGCTGGAGTGACGGACGCCGGTCTCGCTGCCGGGCATGTCACTCATCCGCAATGACAGGTTTACAAAAGGAGGGGCAATTCTGTATTACCGAAGTGACCAACAGTGCGAGGCCATGTGGGATTCAAACTCATAGTTCCCTTTGGTGACACCTGAAATAAAAAGGCAGAGACGTCTGCCTTATAGCTTTTTTGTACAGCCCCCAAACTCTACACCCGAAATGGACAGCCACCTCGCGACAGCTGAAAGATGCAATCTAAAGAAAAAGCATACTAACATCCTTATCATGGGTGATTCCAACGTACACTGCGTAGAAAACCCGCTACAATCGGGGAACAATTCAAAGTCGACCTGCAAGAGATCGGTTTCAGTGATCCGCTTTACAAACCTGTCATGTTGCGCACTCGGTTCGAAACAGGTAGATAACCTGTAATGAACCTTGTGTTCACCAATGAAGAACGTATGATTGGTTGTAGACTTTGGGCCACAGTAATTGTGCAGTTACCAGCATCAACTTCATCAGCAATGCGGAATATCGAAATGGGAACCCTGAGATGGTGCGTGACATTACAAGTTGAAAGCGCTTAACTCAGCTTGTCAGTGTCCCAAACTGGTCGTTCCTCGCTGTAGACCCACTAGAGTTCACCTGGCTCGAATTCGTCAGCAAATTCAATCTGCTTCAGAGAAAAGGGTTTGCAATGAGTTCAAAACATTTTTCTTCGTAAGAAACAGAACGTTAAAATGGAGGGCAGTGCGAAAGGAAACATAGCGACAGTAGGGAGTATCTCCAACGCCAGATATTGGGGATAACTAGCTAATTAAACGAAACCACCGAACTCAATTGATCAAAGACAAAGCGGTAAATTAGCAGGATATGCGAAAACGTCCAGTGCCAACTCCAAAGTGCTGTGTAAGCACGTCAATGACTTTCGATAAGTGAGGCACGGGTTTCCTCCACTCCGGAAGGCCAAAAATCTAACAAGAACGGATAGGGAAGCAGCAAACGCGTTGCGGACGGAATATGCCCTCACATTTCAGAGTCTTGACATCAAGAGATCTTAAAGCATTTTGTTACCCCGAGACACGAATTCAGCTACATCCATTTTACCGAGGAAGCTGTCTGGGAAAAGCTGACGTTTCTGGGTAAGCACAGCTTTCCGAGTATCGATACCATTCGCGCGAAGGCACTGATAGCATCAGTACGACAATCGGCATAATCTCCGGCTCAGTTTTTCCGGCGCTGCTTGGACCAGAACGGGGTGAATGCCATGTAAAAGCTTGGAATAAACATCGATGCACAAATGAGGGAGGATTGAGCCCTTAAATTTCGACCAAATATCTCCTCTCCTTGTAAAGTCCAAGGTCATGGAATTCATCAGTGCTGATGCGCTGGTCTGCTATCTGGGAAGCTGCAACATTAACGCACAAGAGCAGCACCGTTTTAGTCGAGAGCGATCGTGCACAACGAATTCAATAATGGCACGTAGTTGGACCGAGTCACCTGGCTGTGGAGAGTACGGTGACATGATCTATCTGGGGTTTGCGAAAGCATTTGAGCGTGTAGACTCTAGAGCATAGGATTCTCCGTTACAAGCCTCAGTAGTACAGAATCCATAATGGACCCTTGAGCTAGATCGCAGACTTCCTCTTTCGATGGTAATTAGTGGATAGAGCTTGGAGCTCCTTATCTAGTCCCATACGATTCCAGTGTGGTGTGCCCAAAGGCTTGTTTACACGGCCATGCTTGGTTTTGGTATTGCCTGATGACTTCACAGAATCCAAGTGAATGTCGATCAGCATTTGCATAAGTGTGACCTAGCCGCGGTACATGACTGAGTAGCCCGAAAGTTACTAAATTTAATGTCAACAAAAGCTAGCTACTCTCCATAGGACGCCAGAACGCCTATTCCTATAGGTTATGAATGCATGTACTACTGCGACCGTCCGTCAAAGGTGACCTGTGAGTGTTACTCCAGGCATCGAAATCTTGCAACCAACACGTCAGGCTGTCGAAAAGGACGTTCGGACATATAGACACCGCTATTTCCGACAAACGCTGTGCTTATGTTCGCCCCAATGTCGACTACACAATTCAAAGTTGGCAGCCATGACTAAAACCACAATGCTCTGGAGGAGCTATAGCGTTGGGCTTTCAAATACGTCAATGGAATGCGCAATCTTCTACGCGAACAGAGGCTGAAATATTTGGGAGTATTCAGCGGACGGTATCGATAAGCAGGAGCCGACCAAATAACGACCTATTTGAAACTGCACGATCTAGTTACTGTGTGAGTCGCTACGCAAGATATCGGTGCGATTACTTTATATGAGAACCCTAAGTTACGCACAAAGTGAAAGTTACAACAGGATCATCAAATTGTAATGAGGGCGTGTGAGACAGGTGACCATTGTGGCAGTTACCCAATGAACAAGTTTCAGAACTGGACAACTCGCACTAATGTGAAGCCAAACCGAAATCTTAAATATGATGTGCATTGTGGAGCGGACAACAAAAAATGTGCTGAGAGAACCACAGTACTTCCGTTGACTGCATCCACCGTTGGTCTAAAATGTAGCTTAATTACCGTAAGAAGAGACACTTATCAGAGTGGTTGGCAGGCATGAGCAGTCCCCTATAGAGTGGCTGAAAAAGGGTTCACCATAATCACGATGGCGCGATCGTGTCACCATGGTGATATCCTCACAAAGCGCACTCTTAGAAGTTTGTGAACGAAATGAACTAAAATGAGAACAAAAATTACACACTATCCCTGTCCGGTTGGGTAAGATGGGTAATAGATTCAACTATGCGGGATTATCCATGTGTTGTAGATGGTAAAGTGGAATATTTAACGAGACATCCACGAACAGATGACCGGAAATACAAACGATGGAGTGGACTACTGAAGAGAAAATGATTAAAAAGAAATTAAGTTTACCATAGGTAAGTAATGGAAATGGAAAGCCAAGCGCAGCGAGTTACACCTAACGCTAGAAATTTCAAAACACAGTCACGTTTGATTTTTAAAAATCCGTCCATCAACTCTATCTTACTGGATGGTGTCGGATTTTGATAACACACACGCACACACAGGCCCGTAGTCGACTGCATGCTAGTTTTGACGGGCCTTCATTCTGACGGTGAGCGGCTGGTATGAAGCAGGCGACACCAGACCAGTGAGTAATAGTTGTTTTTCCCAAATGTTAGAGAGTCCGCGCTTGAACCAACCGAAAACTACCGTTTCACATGATTGATTTCTATAGGGAAAGGGTCATCGACCACTCCCTAGAATCGTATGGAGAGAATGCTGAGACTAATTCCCAGGCATTGACCTGTCTGGTTCTATCGACTCTGGAAGCACTTGGAAATTGAAGCGCAATGAATCATAGATGCACGCAAACAACCGAACTACATAAAAGGGTTCAATAACACCATGATGGTGTACGAACAGTGAAAGCAACTGTGGAGAGGTAAAGACATTGTATAGGTAAAGAACATGTCTGGTTTTGAAGGGAAGGGTAAGAGACAATCAAATAGGATTACGTACGTCAAAGAAGAAAAGCCGCATGTCCGACAGAAACAGGTAGTGCCGCGTCCAACCTCGCTTGATACCGCCCGCTTTCGGTAGCTAGGAGAACAAAGGAAGTGTGAAAATGTAAAAATGGGACATTTACAAGGAAATGTATGTACGATGGAGGACAGAGAAATCAGGATCGTTAGAAAGCCGCGGGAAGGAGGACGCGCCATATCTGCACAACAAGAAAGTTGTGGTAGTAAAAACAATAATTCTCAAAGTCACCAAGTTATTAGGTGATCTAGGAGCAAAAGTCTAAAAGATCTCTCGACAAGGGCTATTTCACAAGTGATGAAACAGGGAATAGAGTTCGCGATGTCCATTTGGAATGGAGACTATCGAGATATCACCAGTGATGAAGAGATACATAACTGGGTTACCAAGCACATTGAAGTGAACTCGAGTTGAGCGATTCGGTTGCCGACCGCAACTAACAACCTGGACAATCGATAATCCGCGCTATTGGAAAGTGACAGAGCGCTGTGAATCCGCGGTTACGATAACAGTGGTGTTAGCAGGTAACCAACGAATACAGAGGGGAGTTGGTGATAACATGTATAGAGGAACGGTCAGCTGCAACCCAAAGGATTACAGTAAAAGCAAACGCAGCTGCATTGTTATAGTGGACAGAAGTAGACGATGATCTGGCTAGCATCGGTAGCTGGGTGTTTCGGGTTTACCCCACTCCAGCAAAAAGTTAGGCAGCAGTGTTCCAGGATGCGGTGGGTTTTTGTCTGGCAAGAAACCTCCCTACAAAAAGCCACAAATGTTAGTTTAACAACACTGTGACGTGGCGGTTGTGACTCGCCACCAACTAAAGTCCTTGCATCTTTCTTATCCGGACAATGATATCCAATCTATAGACTTCACATATCCCTTCTGATACTGTCGACTCGATCAAACACAATTGAAAGCGCAGCAAAGCATTTATGAACCCAAGCAACATACACGTGCACGTACACAATTACATACATTTACGGATCCACAGATAAGATAAGCTATGTTTGTGCATTGCTCGAGCACTCATTGTACTCTTACCATGATCATGCCCGTGCAGTTGTGCCTCGCATAGTCGAAACAATTTATGTACCACTACTACCTCTACTAAACCAACGACAGTTACTACTACTTACTGAAAGTATCACCTCAATTGGTGACGAAAGTTCCGCAAGCAAATTGCCCAGCTCGGTCAACAATTCAAGAACGATGCTCCTTCGGCTTGAGAACAAATTCGCCCTTGAAATTTTTACGATACGGCTGCATTTGGATCTTGTTTACATGTTCCGAAAAGAAGAGTTGCTAGGGAAATCAGTGAGTTGGGATGGTGGCTACAGAGTTCACAAGAGTAAACGAGTCTTTTAAACGCCTAATGATGAGGATGATGATGATGGGTTTCAATGGTAGTATGACAATTTCTACAGCCACAATTCCATATTAGTGAACCACGGTTATCGACTGCGTTGAGCTCAAACAATAGTTTGCGGTATGAGCCGCCTCAGAGACAATCGATGACGCAATGCGCCATGCAACCCGGATGGTGCGGAGCAGGAAGTTCAAGCGCGATGGAAATACTCGAGCAGAGCCGTGAATTGTTACCAAGCATAACAGGATCATCCTGTAGATCCTAGAGGCGTAATGCTTGAAATAGGCAACTGTCGATCCAAAAGCGTGAAATGATGGTGTTGAAGACTAAGGTAGGTGTTGTCGGTTGGCCAAGTCTATGCTTAACTCGAGACATTACGGAACATACCTTGCGTGTTAACTGATGTCTGTCACCTGGAGCACCTGCTCAGAGTGAGTCTGATGCTGAGTTACTCGAAGTATGAAGTGGCTTATGATGGAGGATATCGAAAACCGCGATGAGACTGTCTGCTACATGCCAGATGTTTGCGACCCGCGTAGGGCATTTAGGCCCCGTGCATCTATCTATCTGGTTGGTTTGTCGAACAACCTCCTCGTGGTGCCAGCTGGGTGGTTCGGGATTATCCCGTTCCAGCGAATGGTTCGGCGGCAGTGTTCCAGGACGTGGTGGGTTTTCGCCCGGCAAGCATTCTCCCCATCTATCTATCTATCTAATCTATCTATCTATCTATCTATCTATCTATCTATCTATCTATCTATCTATCTATCTATCTATCTATCTATCTATCTATCTATCTATCTATCTATCTATCTATCTATCTATCTATCTATCTATCTATCTATCTATCTATCTATCTATCTATCTATCTATCTATCTATCTATCTATCTATCTATCTATCTATCTATCTATCTATCTATCTATCTATCTATCTATCTATCTATCTATCTATCTATCTATCTATCTATCTATCTATCTATCTATCTATCTATCTATCTATCTATCTATCTATCTATCTATCTATCTATCTATCTATCTATCTATCTATCTATCTATCTATCTATCTATCTATCTATCTATCTATCTATCTATCTATCTATCTATCTATCTATCTATCTATCTATCTATCTATCTATCTATCTATCCTCACTCTTTGTCAGTAGATCCCAAGGGTAGTAAGGTTGTGGGATACAGATATACTGCTTCAGATAATAAGGAAGAGAGTACACCGCTGAGTTACCAAGCAAGTTCACTGTTAAGGCGATTAGCCAGGAGCAAATCGCGTGCTCACAATGAGTTAGAATTTGAAAAAGGCATCGGGATGAGACTCTGAACAGTGAAAATGCACGCAACCGTGGTACGCGAATGACGCATGAAAACATGCGTAGTCCGCTGACGATTAACGAAAGATGAAACGGCCGCTCAGCTTTCTCTATATACATGGCATCTATCCAACTGAGTGGTAGTTGCGATGGATCCCCTTCTAGCATACCTTCATCCTCGGGGCTTGAGTGGTCGCCGTGTGATCAGACTACGATGTGCAACCCGGATTCGGTACGTGGTTAACACCAAGGCGACGATCATTTATTCCCATTACAGGACCGTATTTGGCTGAGGATAATTGGCACTGTTCAGACACGACATTGTAATGATGATAGTGAGCAACACAACACTGTACCCAACCATGTGTCGGTGTAGAGGTACGAAAATCGAAAGATGCCAACTTGGACAATTGTCCACGAAGCAGCCACTAGCGCAGGATCAGACGTAGACCCTTTAGTGGTTAGCCCTTGATGTGATGTATATATCAAAATGCATCCACGCGAAACGAGGGTAACGAAAAATGACAGACAGTGCAGTAGGGAAGATTAAGGTCGACAAAAGGCCACAAGTGGATAGTAGAAGAGGGTTGGAAATTAGAGTGGGCCAGTAACAGATAAACCAGGTAAGATGGTTAGCATATACCTTGAAAATTCCAGATGGTCTTCATAGTTCATTGGAACACTGTTTTTCCCGAATCCCACACGACTGGAACCCAAGACCGTGCAATGATCAAGCCTGCGGTTGATTGCCGTTGATTTAGAGGTAGCGATTGCAATCTAAGTAACATAGTTATTACCTGTGTTACGTAACGATCTGCTGCCCCTAAACAGAGCAGAATTGGTCTCCATTTAGTGGCGACCGCCGTCACTCATCGCTTAGGGACTTAAGTAGCTTCCTTCAGCGTACACAGTCATGGGCTAGAATCACGAAAGGTTTAAAGGAAAATGAGCGTTTTCGGCTAGCCCATTTCGACAATCTTTTGGATATGTATTGGATAATATGGATGAATCCACTCCACATTGAAAAGTCTACTGGCTGCCAAAGCGTCAGCACTGCCCACTGAATGCTGAATGACAGTCTCAGAAATGAGACCTTTACGAAAAAATAGGAACAATGTACCAGTAGCCATCATGGTCAGACAACTGAAGGTTATCGATGGCAGTTGGGCGTAGGTCTGCAAATACTGACGTGAAACATGAAGAGAGAAAACGCGGGGGGTAAACAGGAGAGCAATAGAATGTCATAGAATGCAGAACGAAGCTGCCGAATAGAAGCGTTCTTGGTGGCTCACGTTTCACAGTAGAATCCTACATAACGGAGTAGCCGAAAAATATTTATGAAGTCAACAATCGCAGTGCTTCGGTAAAGTACATTGACCATACCGAATTAACACCGCGAGTCAAGAACCTAAGAGGTGATTGACAGGAAAAGCCATAAGTTTAATGAATCAGGTACAAATATTATCAAACTGATGCTGTAGGAAGGCATTATTTGAGGTAGCATTAAATAGTGAAATGGTGGGATTAGGTGGCCGCGGAGACCGAGTACAGTTGCTGAGGAACGTACTTGCACGCATCCTTCCAAAACAGTTCCGAAGCCGCATCCACCATCGAAACTGACGTCTGTGCAGAATAGGAAAACTGTGCGATAACTTGATGAGACAGATAGGAAGAACACATACATAATGGCCTTCAAAAGTTTAGGAGCAATGGGAATTCCAGGATGGTCGAAAATGATTCGTTTGGCAAGGTGGTCAACTGAAACGAGTGCTAACGCCTCCCAGGCGTGACTTCATGGAAAAGATAATGTGAAAAAGGAGAAGAGAGACCCACAAGCGCATGAAGATGGATACTGGGCATACATTTGCACAGCTATTCGGAGCACTCGGGACTCAAGTGTAATGTAATGATTAAACGCGAGGCACTAAACGGTCACATTGAAGTCTACTTTTAGCAGGCGCGCATGAAGTAGCTCGACAGCTGAAAGCACCGATCTATGCGCGTAAATGCACGCACTGAAGAAGTATCAGCCTACGCCAAAACAAGCATGGCCCTATTCGCATACAGAGCAGTTAACAGTGGATACTAGGTATCTAGGTGGAGATACGTGTGGTGAAACCTAAGCCACCTATGGTTCCTCTGTTGCCGCAGGCATCTAGTGACTGTTTGAAAACATATTTAGAGGTAAATCTAGAAACGGATGCCACCAACCGAATAATTTGTGCATGTACTCTCAGGTCTTCGAGTGACCTGCCGATAATTTTATTTTTAATTCCGAGCTGTGTGTAAAGATAACAGATCTGTCACACAGGTTCATTGGCATCAGTGGCCTCCCGACAAGTCAATGCGTATGCTACACTTGCAAACCTGCTATGCGGGTGCTGCAGCTGGGGTCGATAGGATATATGTAGCGTATCAACGTTTCAGTCGGGTTTTCTCCATTTAACATCAACGACATGAGTGCTGAGAGGGTGTGTGATGGCTCCGAATCAATGGTGACTCCCATCTCCATACCTCTAGATCAGAATAGAGTGAGCAGGATGTGCGTGGGTGGCAAAGCACAAAATATTAATGGTCCCTATAGATGCATGCGCCTCATGGATGGCCGCAATTATAGTGACAATCAGATGGGGAGACGGATGCAGACAACTGAATAGGAAACCACTAGTTTTCAGCCATAAGCGATCGAGTTGCCGCACGTATTTACAAGGTGTTAGAGATAAATAAATAAATGAACTTTTATTCGCGACGATGCGAGACACGCCTATATCGGTATGATCGGGTATGTGCATACTATATGGAAGGTTGATCACAGGTGCATAAGAAACATCCCATGTCAAACCAGATAAGGACGGCTGGGGTGACAAGGAACATATAATTTACGGTGCAATGAGTTGAAATTGTGTTGGATGGCTTTTGACTATTCTCTCACATACAAAGCACCATGGGAGAGGGTATGATGGTGAAACATGCACTAGGTCATAGAAAACCTAGACCCTGCTTGTACACTTGTTGGGGAACAAACAAACAGTTTGATCACGTTCTGTACTGACAAGAGCTTTCTGATGATATCTCGAAGTTCGTGTTCAGGGTTGTAGGCACGTATTCCCGGTGGTAGATTGTTCCAGACTCTGACATACCTGTTGAGGAAAAAGTTCGCAGACCTGTTGGTTCCGGACTTGCGTTCCGCCACTGAGTTCTGTTTGTTTCGTGTGTTGTATAATGCTGACAGCATTAATGTCATATTGAGGTTAGAAACATGTATATTTCTGTGCAAGATATTGTAGAAGATAACTAGGTAATTTTCCATGCGCCGTAACCAGAGCGGGTCAAGCTTAAGCTTATCACATCATTCAGACTATTCCAGTTTTACAAAGGTGAGGTATACCGGTTGACGAAAGGACTGAGGTAGTCGATTGTCCTCGATCGTGTGTACTGGATTCGGGCAAATGAGGAGCGGGAAACAATAGGCGGCTGGATCTATTTGGTCATACATTAAACACTGAATAGCACCTGAGTTGCTAAGAAGAAAAGTCTAAAGCCCAAAACAAACGAATTGCGGGTGTATGAGGAGAAAAAGAGATCTGATCAGTTGTTAAGCACCTGTGCAATACCGCACTTCCCAAACGGGCGGGTAACCGACGTTCCCGGGTGGAAGTGGAGAGTATGGTCCTGTACACAATCCATGGCGTCACTATCATCAACAACAGCAGTACATTAAGTCAGGGTAATTTCACATTGGGGTAAATTCCACACCTTTTATAGTTATACAACTTTTCAGTAAATGGAAAGTAATTTTGGTCTCTGCAGGAATTCCCTTTTTTAGACACCATTTTGCCAGCCTCCTGTTTACATACGATCAGCACTATTTACAAGCTTTTAAGAGACATAGAATACACGAGCAATCTAGAATCATCTTAAGGTAAGTACACATGTCGCACTTTTAAAAAGTCCATCATTGTCTTAAAACTCATTATATTGTTAGAAATCGATTAATATAGAATAACTTATTTATTGTGTTATTAGTAGTTCAGGTTTAAATTATTTGTCTCATCAGATGATTTTAAGTTAGTGAGTGAAAATTACTAGTATGTTCGGGAAATTACACACCTCAAATTAAAAGCTTGTGAGGGTATTTCCACATATTATGGTGTGTAGTTACCCGGGGTTGATTTTTGAGCTATTTAGATGTGATATGTTATCACGGGCTATTTAGTGGCCTACACCTACAACAACAGGCATTTTCAAATAAACCTATTTAATGTGATAGGAAGTTGAATTAATAGGCCGCGTCATTAATTTTCAGTGGTTTATTATAAATTTACTTCCGAAATTCAGAATGGTACGAAACTACAAACGTAAAAGGGCAGTATATAACAAAGCTACGACGGAACAAGCCGTTGATCAAGTTAGAAAAGGCATCACGCGGTACAAAAAGGCTGCAAAGCTGTGCAACTTGAAAAAGGCGACAATTCGAGACCGCGTAAAACGAAATACAGCAAAATGGGAACTAGTTGAGAAAAGTTCTTACTGAAACAAGGCTTTCCAGCTGTTTAAAACTTGTTGCCCAGTGGCGGTTTTGATTAACATGCACATATACGATGGAAGTAGTGCGTGATTTTATTATTTTGTTGGTCAAGATAGGACTGTTACTTTTAGGAACAATGTCCCTACACGAGAGGGGTTGTGCAGGTGTGTTGAAGAAACATCCAGATCAGAGATGATGAACTCCTAAGCAGATAAGAGTCAAAAGTCCAGCTAACTGCAAATAAACAGACATTTGTAGTGGTTTCGGCTGCTTAATGAAACCCTAACGATCAATGGCATTATGAATATGCCCGAAAGAGTTTACAATGTTGATGAGAGTGGCTTTCCACTTGACCCTAAGTGAGTAAAAGTGATTTGTGAAAAGGGGACCAAAAACCTAGTTCTCGTCATTGGTGGCTCAAGGAGAGATTTTATCACAGTGCAAGGATGTGCACGGGTTAATGGGAACATGCTTCCTTCGCAGAGCCAAAAACCTAAGAGTTTCTTGAACGCAAAAAGAACCGAACAAGGCTAGATACAGTATTTCTGAAAGAAGTTGGGTGCACAGTGCTTGTTTTAGTGACTGGTTTATAAACTATTTTATCGCATTGTTACCAGAAGGTAGACAAACTCTGTTAATTATTGATCAATGTGCTTCACATATGAATATTAATCATTAGAGCAGCAATTATCCAAAGAGCTAGTTCTTATTTTGCTAAAGGAGTTATGGGAAAGTGACTGAGCAAAGGGAATATTAAAGTTGGATTTAGCAAATGCGGTATCATGCGTTCTGACCCTTCCAAAATTCCCTCCTGTGTATGAATCTGCCACATATCTGGGAAGCGTTCGTGCATCCACATCAGTGCACGACGCAAGCAGCACAAGTGTGGACATACAGCAAGACGATAATGAATTGAATCAGTCAGCCGTTTCAGTTCCATCAACAGGTTCTGCCATGACGACAGGATCAACTTCATCTCAATTTTTCACATGCAAGGCAAGTCTATAAGACACATTTTTCTCAAGAGGTTGTCATCATTACTGAAACAAAACACACCCAAAACCCAGAAAAAGGCAATTAAACGACATTGTGGAGAGAGGCTGACTGCTCAGGAATTTGTGCAGCGAATGGAGCAGCAAGAGGTAGCAAAGGTAGAAAAAATCACAAGACCAAAGAGGAGTTTGCATAAACATTATATATGTCGCAAGCTTAGAAGTGATTTGGATAAATGAAACCATTCAGTTCATATGATCAGAAAGGTACCATGGATGTTTTCGCAAAGGCTGCAAAAAGCACACGAGCACAAAGACATGTGCTAAATGAAGTGCATGTGCTTAATAAGACCACAAATGTAAACAAAGATAAACCATCCTGTTCATATGCTCAGATGAGTAATGATTCCACGGAAAAGCAGAAGAGTGATTCAGAATCCTGCAATGATAATGATTTTTCCATATGGGACACTGATGATGTGTGGTCGACCCGAAAGAAGGTATGTAGTAGAAATATATTTGAGAACTATAATTTCTGAGAGATATAACATCAAGTGTCTGCCAATGGTTTGGTTGTGATGCTTGAAAAAATCCCGACTGGGGCAGAAGGTGCAGGATTGACCCATTTTCTTGTTTTTATCAAAATAACAATAAAACGCTGATGTCTTTGTTACATTTGTGTGCGCATCAAATTTCTCCTAGTAACATTAAAGCTAAAGTGTTGTTATAGAGGTGATATGTGTGGTTATGAATATTGTTACTTAATTATTTTTTAGATTTTTTTTAGAAAGTGGAGTGTGGAATTTCCCCGATTTACGGTACACCAATACTGCGTACCGGGATTTTGCTGCACGAGCCTTGATCGTGTGGAACAAGCTGGTAGATGGATGCAATTAGTGTAAAGGTTAAATGCGTTAGGCAAATATTGAAGAGTAATGTGCTACCCCTTGCCAACAGCGCACGGTCATAAACAGTTAAGAAAGGTGCGAGCATAAAACGATATCAGTGAAACAATTTATTTATGACCTTCAATACCATGGTGTCATAAGTAGCCGTATGCCATGGATTCTTCCGCACCACACACCCTTGAGACATGAAGATTGACGGCTATGAGCGCGCTACCTATGTCGATCGCAAATCATGCCTGGTAAGTGTGGGAAGAATGGGTTTGGTCGCACATGCCCCACCCAGGAAGGTAAGGCGGATTAACTGCGCGCGTTGTCAACGTCATCATCTCCGCTATCAGTTTAATGATTTTCCCGACAATCGGTGGGTGAGTCAAGGCAAGTAAGCGCACAAGAAACTGTTCCATATATGATTGAGAAAGTCGAAGCTACCTAGCGGAAGAGGATGGGAGGAAAGACTTGTGCAAATTAACGAAGACAAGTTAGATGGGAAGCGGCTAGAACAACTACATGCGACAGATAAAGGTTCAGAAAAAGCAGAAAGATGGAAGAGTAGTGAGTAGGCCAGACAGAGATCGAGAGTGCACTTATCAGTGACGCAGTCAAGCCTCCACGACCGCGTGGGGTTTAGTTGCTGGCAAACGATTGGTTCAGGATAGTAACATTGACGCCAAAACACTACAGAAGGACGGAGAAACGCGACTGCCTAAAATGGGATAGGGCCGAACGATACGATGAGTCATCACAACCGGTTGCACATTACCAGCAACGGACCGTTATGTAGCGAATAGATTTGGACGGAGCGGAAAATAGGAGTATCCTTTTAATGGCTATGTATGCGTACAAGGCTGGGACTAAAAAAGTAAGAATACGCAGTAAATTCAGTGTGATGTGAAGGAACACAAGAAACGTACTTGGAGTGGGAGCGATGGGAGCAGGGCAGGCGGAAGGAGCAGACTGGCGACACCGTTGGTGGCACAGAAAACCGCAGTTCCGGCACTGAACTCCTTGCCAACGTTGACCGAGCATCAGACCGGTGCAAACACGACACTTCATGGGGCCAGGAAAGGTGTCTAGCGAGAAGTAGTGGGCAGATGCCGAATGCGAAGCCGAAGAACCAGCGTCGCAAGATGCGACACGAGAAGAAAGAGAGGGAGGATTTTGCAGACCAACAAGAGGGAGTGATCTTCGGCTTTCGAGCATACAAACGTCCATATCATGATTGTTCAACTAGAAAAACAATATAGAAGAGCTAATGTCAAGTGATTAGATGGGCGCGTCAACTGGCTCATGCCGTGCAGGCAAATCAATGCAAAACATAAGAGTAACAATAAGGTTTACCAGAATGCAAGTGATGAATAAAATGAGTATTTCTGGAGTTTCAAGTCCGTAGTAATGAGATGGACGAACGGCTTAAAGTAGTACGAAACAGACAGCATCAAACAAGACCACCAGTAGAAGAAAAAAACAGGGTATATTTTGTAAACAATCAAGGAAGCAAAGAAGTGTGAAGACCAGTAAGAAGAAATAATGATAGAAAGTGTTGCAGCGCTGCGGAAAGGCTGAAAATTATAAACGGCTACGGTGGCTCGATAATTTGTGCAGGATGAGTCACGTGACAGCAAGATGAGGGCATTGTTTTTCGTTCTTATTTTACTCTAATCCTATTTTCCTATTCCGCCATGCTTCCGATGGCACAATATCTGTACACAGATTGTGATAACTATGAGGGTATTGGAGACACCAATAAACATGAATGGTTACCATTGGCTCCGCCATTTCCACACGCTCGTTGAGAGTGTCTTCCGCGGTGTGCGTTATACAATGTTGTTGCGTTTACCTCGGTGGAAACTGCGAAGTGACGAAATGATGACCTAACCGGGGGACTTCGTCAGGCTAGTGCGTGTCGTGCTCATGGATAAGAGCGTCAGGATGGGCTACATCAGTGATGAAACTCTTAGTTGACACGGCAAAGTCGCAGAGTATGTGTTGCCCCTGCATTCGGCTTATGCGTATAGCTGTTAATTTCTTGCATCCAGTGATTGTACACACATTTTGCGAACTCTCGTTCCCATGTGCTTCAGCTAAGAATTAGCATTTATTCAGCTTTCTTAACTATTCTTGTCCAGACGATATGATTTGTGGCAACCAGATCCAATGCACTTCGGTTTTCGGAGCACAACTAAACGGAATCGAAATGAACATTGGTCGCATCAGATGCAAATAGCGATCAATGGCCAATGACAAAATTGTAAAGTGATATAGTACACTGCATAGTTAAAACCGCTGATTGATTGACTGTAAGAGAAAGCGAATGAGCAGTAAGTGGTTGTCAAACAGTGCAATTGTATGTTGTTTGAAGAGTGAAGTACGTTAGGTCAAGGTGTAAGTTTAGTGTTAAACAATGATAAAAGGTATGCTGTGAATGACTGAAAATAGGGGGCAAGACAGTGAGACAAGATCAACCAAGACAATGTGTCACCAAGTTTGGCAAGCAAAAAGACGCAAAGAATTTCAAAAAAGGCATATCCTGGTTCACTGCTTGAGAGAAAAACGTTAAACAAACAAAGCCAAGCAGTGATAAACGATACTGATACGATTATCTGTGATGTCCATGGATAAAGATGGAAGTAAATACTAGCTGGACAATAAAGAAATCGGAGTCATAAAGTTTCACATGTTCCACAGAGGGGGTGATGGGATTATCAGGGAACCAACGAACGTAGAGATGATTTCATACACACGGTGAGAACGGTGTAATGCGTTAGCCAACTAAGGTAATGGCGTAAAAGAAGCATACTGGTCTGCTGAAAACGCGCGCGAAAGGACTTATGTAATCACATAAAATTATAGGAGCGAGCAAAGGAGTAAGGGTTTGATACTATCTTCTGACATGGTAGCAAAACCAGATAAAGAGGAAAAGTAGGAGGCCAGGAAGTTCTTGTGGGGTCAACTGACTTCGAGACTAGACAAAATATCAAAGCGAAACAGAATTTAGTTAATCTGAGAAGCAACATATTGCAAGACAGACGCGAGAGTTTGATTAATGGTTCAGTTCACTTGCGAGTTGAAAAATAGATAGAATGAAGAAATTGGATACGTATTTGAGAAAAACTGGGAAGCAGCTTACCGCAACTGGGCTGATACTGAGGCCGTCCTCTGCAGACTGAAAACAATTGAGATCGAAAGACGTACCGTGCGGTTATTAGTGCGCCTAATTTCGTATTTGCGTGTAGCAACAACTAGAGCACATAGCCATGATTAAGGGGGTAAGCACTATATATATATATATATATATATATATATATATATATATATATACAATCGGGTTACAGACAATATCCCATCAGAAATATGGCAGAAAAAATCGGAATACAATAGAAACAGAAAATGCAGTGTTTTGGGGTTTTGCACACGTCATTTTTAGTTTTGTGATTTGAAATTTTTTGTTCGATTAAAGAATGACTGATTATCTATGCGGTAGAATGGTCCCACGGATGTCTGCTACGGGCTATAACAAATAACCGTATTCCAGCACTAAGAATCACATTCGCGTGATGGCAGGTCTGACTGATGCTGAGGTTAATTACTTCATGATCTTTCTCCACCTCAATGAAGTCCCAAGGCAGCAATTCTTCTAGTCGGTTCAGGAGAGCATAAATAACGCTGGACGGGAAAGGTGGTAGCTTGGCATGCGCAATGCGCGACCGAGTTAACGCATGTGGTGTCGGAAAATAACGTGCTGCAGTTCTCTAGATAGGTGAAACAGGGAACTTGTACCAGAACGTCATCAGAAATAGTGAGGATAGGCACGGGAACCTGGCAATCCTGGAGTAGTGTTTTACATTTGGCCGAGGTGAAATACACCCGATACTTAGATGCCTAAATTGTTAAGCGGTTCGAAGCGCAATGGACGGCTTGTAGATAGTACCCAAGCAGAGGGATATCACCAGCGTACTCGAACTCCGCAACTGTCATCAGGGAGAAGGTCAATACCGCAGTTTTGGACACCATACAATACTCATTGAAGAGGAATAATGAAATGGGGTAATCTTGGCGAACTCCGCTGGCCACAGCAAACGAAGAGGAAAGACTGCCGTAAGCCATGATTTTGTCCGACGTGTGGCTAAAGTTATTTTAGGATAATCACAAACTTATCGGGAACACCTTTTCTTAGTATACAGTTACACAACGCAGATTTATCTACTGAACCAAATACTGCTTGGATGTCCAAGAACACTATAATTGTTGGCCGTCGGTGGACGTGGTTTGTTCCAAAAAGTCGGCGAAGTGTGAAGATTCGGTCAATGTTCCTCTCGGGAAAATCCCTCTGTAGTCGTTAAGATCAATACAATTCCGCGGGAGCTTCTCTTGTAAATCGGAACAATGACCCATTCTACCCATGAGTTTGGAAGCTTCTGTTAAGTCCAAAGCTTCGTGAACAGCAATAGGATTTTGATGACAAGCATATTTTGAATAGAGCTGGAGGTAGACCGTTAGGGTCGGAGCTTTATGACGTTCCAAATATTGAATTGCATCTCGGATGTCTGTTTCGGTAGAGGCATGAGGTAAAGAAAAATGTGAATACAAATAATGGAGCTGGTAAGTTAAACTGCGAAGAATATGTCCCATGGCACGATAAAGAAGGGTATTTGCGAACGGGTACAGGAGCAATAGAGGAGAAAGGGTTCAAAAATCTCAGCAGTATATTGGCACTTTGTAATGAAACTTTTGCTGCCGTATAACCACAGGCGCTTGTATGCGGAATGGGACACAGCCAGGGTGCCCAAACGTGTGCAGGAGCAGGCACTTGAACCGGAGACACACAGGCTACAACTAAATCAGCTGAATGAACACGCCACAGACACCCAAGAACTCAGAAACCTGTGGATATTAGCCTAGTACACTCGGAGAGAGGATATAGGAAAGAAACACAATAGCCAATAAGTTTTGTGTAGTACCTTAGGTTTTGGGTTAAGAGTCAACGCGACATCAGGAAAGACGCAGGAAATAGACTAGTACTAATGTAGGATAACAGAAAGAACTTGGAGGAGGAAAAGCTTGGTGATATTTCCCACAAGTGAGACTAAGAGTGTATTTAAGAGCAAGTAGAAAAGTTTCTGTACAACTCTAAAGAATTATGAAAAAGCAAAAACATTTAATTGCGGCAGTGTTTGGGCAGTTAATGGTTTATGCTTGTTCGGTTAGGAATTCGTGAAAAGCGAAATCAAAGCGTGCTATGACAAAATGAATATCAATCAGGATGGGTTAAACCCGATCAGGGTTGGTAGCGAAGTTAAGTAGAAGAGCATAAAGCAAATACACTAATGCTTGACTAGCGGCGCAGATAACCACTAATGAGACGCATAGGATTCTACAGAGAGTGAGAGCAGAAGCAATGGTTAAATGAAAAGATGAACGCGATGACCAAACTAACCTCATTACCAGTACGAAAGAAGTGAGGTTGATTGGACACTGAAGGTGAAAGAAGATAACATTAGCGGACAGAGTAGACGGACCCTTTATTTTTATTGCTGATAAGGCAGGACAAGCTAGTTGTTGAACATGAGCTAAAACGCACAGAAATATTAGTGGCTGAAAAGAAATGAGCTATGGAATTTAGCAAAAATTCAGACTTAGTCAAAATGATGCGGACACGGAATAAAAACCAACGCGATACAATTTCCGCCATTGTTCTACTGGACAAATCTGACTCCAGGTCTTTGCAAAATAGCAGATGCCATAAAAAATCCCTTTAGTTCATCATTCAATATTCCACGTGACGTACCATTGCCGAATGCACTCAGTAACACGGTAAAACTGGACAGTGATTTTTAATTGGATATCTATTCAGCAACATACAGACCGACAAGAACTATCCTCTTATGTCAACTTCTTTGTTGAAGTCGTTCACCAAGTAATGGAGTCGGGGACACTAGCAATCCAATGGAAACTTGGGATAGTCAGGACCAGACACGGAAATAAGGCAAAAGCAGACACTATAAACTACCGCCCGATTAGGCACAAGCATATTGTTGCGAGAGTAATGGAGAGAATAGTCAAAAACAATAAATCATTTACTCTCACAAAACCTGAGTAACCAGACTCAGAATGGCTTTCTACAAACGCGGTCATGCCAAAGATACCAGCTGGAATTGCAGAATTGTTTAACGAGCTCTATGGATAATAGTCATGAAGCAACACACATTGTTAACGATGTATAAAAGTATTCCATAGTGCCTCATGGTCACCAACTAGGAAAATGTCATGAGTAGGAATCACAGAACCTTTACACGCCTGGTTTAGATTATACCTTAGTAATCAAATCAAACAAATTCAAATGAGAATCCACAGGTCAACAACGCTGCCGGTTACTAGTGATATGATCCAAGGGGGCGTTCTAGGTCCTTCCCTTTTCTGGATGTACATCAATGACATCACGGAGGCCATTAAACAATGAACACCCTACGTCCTTGGTGATGAGATTACGGTAGAGTACTATTCCAATCCAGAAGTTTGAAAGAAATATTTGGAAAGATAGAGAGAGGATTAATGGTGACAACTAGCAAATGTCGTTTGATGCGGAGTAGTGGCGCACCGATGCAAAATTGATATGGACACCTTACACCCTTTCAGAAAGCCAATTATATTCCATTTATCAAGCAACTACAATTTCGGGGAGCAGGTTAAATCTATAGCGGTCAAAGCTCACCACACAGCGAGACTAATTTACAAATCACTCGTACTACGATGGATGAATATTGCGTGTTGCGCGCCCGGAAACAATGCATCCCATGACCGGTTTCGAACATATCATGTAGAGATAACAGGCATGGAACCCTGAGTCATTTGGATTAGCCGAAGCCTTTTATCCATTTATCAGAGTCAACGCATGTTACAGCGATTAAGGACTGATTAGCGGTAGAAAACGGAAGGACCACAAACAGCCTCAACGTGCATGCGATTTATAGGATCGCAAAGTGACCCATGTCTAATTTCCGGGAAAAAATGACAACGGTGTATGGAATGCGGACGGCGTGAGAGTTAGAGAGCATGGAATATATGGTTATGGGAATTAGGAAGTGAGCCACAAACTTTTATAGGTCAAACGACGCACTGTGACGTGAAGGTTTTGTGTTTCGAAGTCGTGTGCTAAAAGGGAGCTGACAATCTCCATCACGTGAGTAGCACGAGCTGGATCAAAGTAATCAGGTGACGATCTTCTAATCAAAACCGTTAACATCAGTTGCCGAATACTAGAACATAACAAAGCGATGGCAAATATCATACCAAGCTAAGATATGAAGTTGAATCCAACCGAAACACTCTGGCACTGTTGTCGCGGTGAAAAAAGACCGGTAATTATGTCAGCACTGCCAAAGCGCTGCAACAGCTAGAAAACTAACGGCATACAAAGAGGGAAAGACTCCCTGAGGAAAACAAGGAAGTCCGCCAGGTTGAAAACAAATAGCCCATAACAGCAATCAAGGCAGAATCTGAAGGGGAACAAACCGTTTGATGACAGCAACCAGGTCTGTGTCCTTCCGAAAAGCGTGCTGTGCTTATAAGAAACACATTCCCTCTCATCGATGGACAGAACTGTTCAGACACCAAAAGGTCGACCTAATCGATAGTCACCATGAAGCAGACTAGGGTGAATCGCTGCGTGGGGTGCCAATAGATTAGTCTTTGTTAAGCAAACAGCTGGTCTTGCGAGAAGTGACGGTCTTTCATAAAAACGAAAATAACAGTGTCAATGTGGCAAGTGATCTGCTCAGCAAGAAAAAAATTGTAAAATACATAACGATCAGTGGGCAAATTGGGTTTTAATGGCCAAAGTAGTGGAGCTGTGGCGGACACGAAATATTTACCAGATCCTGCGACCTGTAGATTTTGTCTGAACATGGACTGTGGGGCAGTTCGAACAGCCAAAGAAGTGTCCAAAAAACGAGGCTGGGTTATAGAACATGCAGCCCCACGACGCCAAACGCACAGAACATGGACGATGGGCACAGCCAGCGACAGGCGGAATGAACATATTTCGAGGAAGCAACTGTTTAATAAGTGAAAATTAGCCAAACGCCACAGTGGAGACAGATTGATGGAGGTAGAGAAACCGAGTGATAGACAATGATTTGAAAAAACAGTAACGCCCAATTAAGGAAGTTGTGTTTTGAAGGGAATTCGCGAGTTAACCAGACTGTCAGTTAAGAGGATACGAACGCATATGACGAACAGTGGTTACTGGTGGAGAGGTTTTCAACAAAAACGAATGTGCCTATATGGTCCCTGGCACGGTTCTGGAATTCACTTGTGCACCGCAGGGTAATAAGATGCTACGACTGTTATGTCTAGAAAGCAGCAATTAGATAAGGTAAAACGTTGCGCGATTAGGATGAAAAGTCAATGGGATGCATAGGTTATTCTGCGGTGGGGAATTCAAGAAGTCCCGTCGGCACAGTCAGACTCCGGTATACACCCGCTAACACTTGGAGACGCGCTGTGCGGCCGCTTCGTCCAATTGCAGACTGCCAGAGATTAACTAGACAGTTTATAATGCCATAATATAGTTGGTGAGACCAGTGCTGGAATTCGTACCTTCTAGTGCCAGGAGTAGCGTGCATGACGGTGACAATTTCGGCGGTGGAAGATAAGACAAAACACAGCGCCCCAAGACGCTGATTACATGTCGACTACGAGGTCGAATCTCGAAGGATATGAAAAAATGTTACTGTCAAGTTCCAATAAAACGAAACAGCCGCCCTGCACTTATCGGGATGGTGGTGGCGGTCGTATACATGAGGCTAATGGTGACGAAACCACTTGCAGCAAGGTGCAGAACTATCGCGGACGACAAAAGCTGTAGTGTGCTGTCAAACTGACAACTGGTAGACGGAATTGCGGAGGGAACCAAAATGCTAAAGAACACATCACTAGACTGTCGGGGAATGGATATAGTCCATGAGCTGGAAAACGATGAACTGTGCGGAAACCTTGGGCAGGATACGGTACGATGGCTCATACATTTCTAAGGGGATGAACGCTCGTGAACGGCATAGTCAAAGCGACAACTCCTAAGGAGTGTGCGCAAGGTGAGATAATCAGTGTGACAAGGCACACTGGGACAAAAGGAAAATTGTAGAGGATATGGGTACAGTAGAAAGATGTAAATCTAAAAGTGGTTGAAGCGTCATTGTTTGTATGTTGCGTAGTAAGTGCACGTGATACAAAGGGGGCAAACTAACGGCAGACAGGTATCGAATTACTGCGTCCTATCTAGTGTGTTACCAAGGAAAATGCAAGGATCAAACTGGTTTACCGCGTGTACCGTGGTTTTAGTAATGGAACAGCGTGGTGGACGTACAATGAAAAGTAAGAGAAAGTTGGGCAGAAATTCTTGATGGGGTTAGAAAAATGGGGAGAATGGTAGGGCGCGCAATAGAATTAATAGTGAAACATAGTGGGTGAAACGGGATTTCACTTTAATCAATCGAATAAGAGCGATCTAGAAAACGTGTTGAAGTCCATAAAAGGTAAATAAGAAAAGTTTAAAAAGTACCGGCCGAAATAAAAGCGTTGAGGAAAAGAAGACACATGGTTCGTTCAAAGTTAGTGGGATTGATTGGGCAACAAAATGTGACGTGGAAAGCGTAGCTGACAGCCTAAATTGGGATGGCAAGCCTAAAATGGAGTTGATTACAGATGCCCGTGCACCGAACTGTGCAGACCATTCAAACACATTAGAATCACTAAGTGGACGAGGTTTTCATTCACACGCCCATCATGTGGTAGTACACAGGTGGAAAGGCTGATACAGTGACGGTAACGGATGCAGATAATAATTAGGGTGAATTGGAATCAAACGGGATCTGGGAGGAAGTGCTAGGGCGTTAAAATTTAATTGATTTGTAAGTGAAAGGCAAAAGCCAAGTAAGATGGACTTATATGTTGACGTGAAGACTGAGAGCGAAAGTTAAGTGGGCTGGTACATCAGTGGGTACAATAATTCGTGATGAAAGTACGGTCAACCATTGAAAACAACTCACTAATTAAAAGTTGATCATTAAGGCGCTCCAACAATCGCTCCTGTTCCTCTATCTTCAAGTCTTTCGAACGGATGCAGCTAAGAACAGAACGAAGGGGACTAGGAGACACTTTGATGAGGGACAAGTAATTTGCATATAGCGAACCAACGCACAGATTAGTAATGTATAGCTGGTATTTGACCAATATTGGGCAGTGACTCCTAAAAACACCCGGAAAAGAATGGTTCGTCCTATGAAATGCTCAATTAATGGTCACCTACTCAGTCAATTCTTTCAGTTTGACTTCATACTCTTGAATTCGAACTTCAGCTTGTTCCCTTGCCCGAACCTCATTGTTCAAAGCGACCTGCAGATTGGAGCGCTCCATTTTGTTGACTTTAGTAGACTTGCGTTGACGCCAATCAAGGGTCCCATCACCCGTGAGGCTGACC